TCTTTTCCTTTTGGCTTTTCAATTCAGGGGTATCATCTGCTTCCATCTAACCCTATCCTCTACATCCTCTTCTCTCACACCACCTAACTTCATGTCCTCTTTCACAACATCCATAAACCTCCTCTTTGGTCTTCCTTTTGGCCTTTTGCCCGGCAGTTCAAAACTCCAAAAGCATCCTTCTGCTCATCCTTCTACTCACTATTCGTCCTCTGTCCAAACCATCTCAATCTGGCCTCTCTGGCTTTATCTCCAAAACATCTAACATGTGCCGTCCTTCTGATGGACTCGTTCCTGATCCTTTCCATCCTGGTCACTCCCACAGAGAACCTCAACATTTTAATCTCTGCTACCTCCAGCTCTGCCTCCTGTTTTTTTCCTCAGCATCACTGTCTGGAAACCACCTTTCTTTTCATTCTTGATTATTCTCTTTTATCACACCTGACACTTTTCTCCACCCGTTCCAACCTGCTTGCGTATGCTTCCTCAACCTTTCTTCCGAACCCTCCATTGCTCTTGACTGTTGACTGTTGTAACCTTATCCTTCCACTTGGGTCCCTCTCATTCACACAGATGTATTCTGTCTTGCCGTGGCTAACCTTAATTCCTCTCCTTTCCAGGACATACCTCCACCTCGCTAGATTTTCCTCCACCTGTTCCACTTGCACATCTGAACACTGCAATTTTAGCCAGTTCTTTTTTACAAAACTGTCCAATCTGAGTCATGCTGCACAGGGATTGTGAATAAACAGCCCTTTTTAATTCCGGCCACAAAATCTCAATTGGATCAATGTCTGGGCTCTGAATCGGCCTCTCCGCAACATTCACTGTTGCCTTGAAAGCATTTTGTGCAGCTTTGGCTGTGTGCTTGCTGGTAAACAAATCTTCTCCCAAGTCACAGTTCTCTTGCAGCATGCATTAGGTTGTCCTCCAGGTTTTCCCAATGCTTTGCTGCATTCATTTCACCATTTACCTTTACAAGCCTTCCAGGTCCTGCTGGATGATGCTGCCACCGCCATGCTTCACTGTGGGAATGGTGTGTTTTATGGTGATGTGTAATGTTTGGTGTCCGCCAAACATGTTGACTAGTCTGATGGTCAGAAAGCCAAATTAATTTAACCATAACTCGGTGCTGAAAAAGTGGGTACAGACTTTTTTTTTTTAATGAGCATTGTAGATGTACTTTAAGTGTACTGTACAATGTACTTTGGAGGACAGTGGCTTGCATAGGGTCTAAAACTGTGGGAAACTCACCCCTCCCCAACTCACTGCAGCTCAAGCATAGCAGCTCACCTAAGACTCTGCTTACATGTTTGAACAGGAATCCAATTCTGAAGAATGATACAGAAAGTCCCAGCCTGCAAGTTGACCGGATTGGTTTATTAGGTTTGTTGCGTATGAAACCTCAAAAGTCTAGATCCTTGTTCTTGAGACAGTCATCAGTACACAACGGTCTGAAGGCAGAAATGCTCAGCCATAGCACTGACTGCTCATTTTGCTCACGATGTGTCTACCATCACATTCATATATTCCCTTCCAGCATATAAGAACACGGACATTTTAACAAGATTTTAAAACGCAAAACATGTTTGGACATTTGACCCTACTGTCTGACTAAGTTTTGTAATCAACCTGGTATCGTGCCAGGAGAATAAGCCATTGCTGATGTCTACAATGGACGTATCCGGCCTTCTTAGGATTGACCCTGCATGACCCCATAATACGTCCACACACTGTCACAGCTTCCATTGCTTCGAAGAGGTACTCGCTTAAACCCTAGTATACAGTATGAGCACACTGATAACCAGTTCTCAGTTTTTATGAAATGCCAAATCTAATTGGTTAATAAAATAGTTATCATATGATGTAGTATAATATTGCATCTACAGGGGCAAATCCAATCATATTATGTCAGGTATTATCTTCCATTGCAGCAGCTGAAGCCTGTTTTCATAAATGCACAAATAAGATTAAACCTCGGATATTACATTGATCTGTGGAAACGCAGATTTTCTGAATAACTTCATTTTAAAAAGCAGAGTTTATGGTAGCCTACTTTGACAACTGTGACAATGATAACACAGACATAACCTGTTGCAATGGTTGAGTTCTTCTTGTGTTGTGATTGCACAGCATGTATGTAGCTAAAAAAGGTTTCAGGTAATTTGACAAACTAAAAAGTCGTGAGGAATTTGAATCATTAAAGTGCATCATCAACGAAGGTAAATTCTGCATTTTATTGTCATCCCAGCTCTCCAGATTATAATTTTGTCATTCATTTCACCTTTTGTATGTTTGTCTGTCCTGGAAGAAGGATCCCTCTTTTGTCGCTCTTCCTGAAGTTTCACATTTCTTTGTAGGATGGGAAACAGTAGAGAATGTTCTACGCTGTTTGACCAATATAACAAAATTGACTTGACAATATTATGTTGCATCCCTGTCTCACAGAGGGGCCTTCCATCAAAATCCAGATTCCTGACCTTTATAAATTTGGATAATAATATGCTTACATTGTGCATGTTTCTACAAAGGTTGGTATATACTAAACAAAAAGCACAGGTGACAGTCAGTGAGGCACAAAAGGGCCCCAAAGCAAATATCTTCAACGCAGCTGTGGCAGTGATGATGATGATGAGGCCGATACCCGCAGGTGTTGGATGATATTTATGTACCTGCTATTTACTTAGCTCTCTGCAAAAGATAAGGACAAGCTGATGTCAGCTAGCATTAATATCAGATTAAAAGATGTGAAATGAGACACACTGAGTACTATTGATAGCTGGCATTTTAATAAAGCTCAAAGGAATAGAAAAAAAAAACAAAACAACAAAAATCCATGAACAGTCGAGCATATTTTGTTAATTGGAAAGAAAATGAATTCGAAAAAAAATACTATGGTTTTCTCAGTATACTCACTGGATTTCACACGATACCACACTAAAGCCTCAGTAAGACTTTACACATCTCGCCACCTCGGCTACACTCTGCACTCAACACGCTTCCTTCAACACCTGTACTGCTTCATTAGTACGCGCTTCCAACAGGTAAATGTCGTTACAAAAAATACTTCTATATGCCAAAATATATCTGTACAGTGTCAACACATATTGAAGGAATGCATGATTTAAAAAAAAAAAAAAGTAACAGTAATGTAAAAGTAATAAGCATGACAGTCCTGAAGTGGAAACATCTTTGATTAGACTGGACAACAGTGGACAGGGTCTGTAAGTGCTAGCATGGGTGAATTCATTTTATTTACAATTGTGGACTACTTTGCAGGTAAACCCTGATTTAATAGCTCAGACAATAACCACATTAAAGTGACACTTTTCAGTATTTGTTAGTTCTAACTGCGACATGGTCAATGGTGATTATTTACTCTTAAATTGCACAGACTGATGACACAGTGTGGGATTTCCATCTAGTCTACTACTCATGATAGTCTTATCAGTGATACCGTTGAGTGATCACAACTTTTTGCATCTTGTAGCACGATAAAAAGGCCCCAAAAACGACGACATACTGATAAATTATAAAAGCTACTCAAAGCTACTACAAGCTGACTTGTTCATTTTGAATGGAACTGCCATTATATACAAACTAATTTTTTTAACTTATATACGCATAGTATATTATGTTTCTCTGGATAAAATCTAAGACGCTTTTTAAAATATCTTCAAAGCATTATCAAAATGAAATAAATTAAGAGTCTATTGCAGGTGCTTTCCAGAATTGTTCGATGTTCCTCCGTATGCTCAGTAATCTCATCATTTGACACTTTTGGAAAGTAGTTGCAATCACCAGCTGAGGTATTTTCCTCGCTCTTCTTGGCACTTCACTAAACACACATACACAAACTTGAACTGTTTATAAGTTTTTCAGTCACGTGTAAAAAAAAAACCAACAACAAAAAAAACAGAAATTCATGCCTGTATGGCGCAAAACTCTCATCAAAAATGCTGCGTCTGATCACAGACAGGCCGCCCTTTAAAATGACCGTGAAGGGGACGTGATCTGATCTCAGACTTTGTTTTTACACGCAACAAACGGACTTTTTCAACAGGCGCTGACAAAATGACACGAACACTCACAGCGCATCCATATGACACAAAACAAGCATAAGGCCACACATGATCAACTTAGAGAAACCAAACTGCCCCCCGTTCAGAGGCGTGACATTCAGTGCTTCAGTGGTTCAACTAGGTAAGGCATTGGTTCGCCTATTATTTTCTTCTCTTGTTTTTTTTTGTTTTTTTTTTGTTTTGGCACATGAGAACATAGATACACATGCTGACGAGTACACACTTGTGCCTCATTTAAGCAGTTCAGAGTGACACGGCCAGCTCTGTATTCGCAACGACAACATCCGTGAGGCCCGCGTGTGTTCTACATTCCAGTTGTGATTTTGAACAGTGGAAACGTGTGTCCCTTTTTAATGAAAAAGTAAAATCCACAAATTCTTCTGCGTGGACCAAACCAATGAAGTGTGTCCAAACGTTGGCCGACCATCTGGCACTACTTGGGGTGTTTTTTGGGCGTCCCCTGCTTCTTGGTCTGCCACAGATGGCTGGCGATGGTGATGGCGTCCACGCTAGCGGACATGGTTTTGGCTGGGATCTGGCTGAACTGCTTCCTGTCTGAGTTGTACTTGTACAGGGCCTCGATCATTTTGTTTGTTATGCTCTTTGGGCCGATGCCAGCCAGTTTGGTGATCTCCTCGGTCTCGGGGCAGTAGGTGTAAACGGACCTGAACTGGCATCCGGCATCGCGGAACAGCACGAGGAAGTTATTGGCTTCAGATTTCTCCATTTCCTGCGGCAGAAATAAGACTCATTAATCAACGCGACGTCTTAGTATAGGAGATGTATTTATACACACAAAGACACAAAACATACATCAAGTATCCTGTTTTTCTGCCCTTCATTGACTTTGCCAGCCAGGCAGCAGTGAGCCAAAGCGTTCTGGATGATGTGCTTGTTGGACTTGGCACTGGGCTCCTTGTACAGTTTGGGTCCTGTGGGAAGAAAACACAAGCATGAGACTGCAAAATCTAAACAAGTGGCTTTGTAAATGTCAATGAACTGTTGAAGCAGCGCAGGTACTGTGTGTCTTCTCCGTATCTACCTGTGTACTCAGTGTTGGAGGGAGTGGACGAGGTGGTCGAATCGTTTTCCCAATCCTTCTCTCCGTTACGACTGCCAGCCGAAGGACACGAAGAGAAACCTTCCGCAGAGTCCGGCCTGGAGACGACGAAATACCAAACGAATGATGCACACACACACACAAACACACACATTACAACACCACGTAACGGCAGACGCAACGTGTACCAGGTATTAACACGTAAACCGACAAATTGCACATACAGACATGCACACACACACGTAGAGATGTGGTAGAACAAGGTCAGACACAGTGACACGATTCTCCAAACCCGGCCTGTTGTCTCGTATTACATCATATTGTAATACTCCGACGGAGCTGCGCAGCGAGGGTCAGAAAAGGCATGTTCAGCCAAGCAAAGCAAAGCCTTGGCGCTGTCTTTATGGATGCTGTGAGAGATGAGCTCAAGTACTTATGAAGGAAACGGGCAAACACAGCGGTGAAGCACAGAGCAGCCAGCATAGAGGAGAGAGCGCACAACAGCCTGAGAGCAATACTGCAAGAGACAGGAGGAGGAAAGAGAGGCGGAAACAGCTCAGCCACGCCAGTCCGACCAACCTTAATGCAGAAGCAAAAACTGCAAGGATGGAATAAGTTCAACTGTTTGACACGTCCGTCTACTTTTAAGCGCTTGTCTACGCTGAAGGAACGTCTAATGAAATGAGGGCTACGCCAAAGTTTATCAACACAAAGCCACACCTACAGTACTTTGTTACCCTACAAAGCACTCGTTTACGCAGCGTTACTAACCTTCCCTTTCTGTCTTTGGGGGAGCTTAAATAAAACGGGATATGGGCAGAAGCTAGTTTGTTGCCTCTGAGGGATGCATGCAAAACAGAGGGGAAAAAAGGGAGAGAGGGATAAAAAAGAGAGTCAAGCTGCAGACCTCACAGGCCTCCATGAATCACATGAGTCATAGGATCAGAAAAAAACCTTCATCAACAAACATCCCATCAAGTCAAAACACAGCTGGGTTTATGATGCGTCGGGTGTCACATCAGGGAAATACGGGTCGGAAGTTATGGCATTTCAAAACTCACGAACCAATTATTAAACTGCATTTGAATCTGAGAAGTTAGAATGGTTTTATTGACAAGGAAAAGTACCAACAGATATTTGATTTTCTTCTTCTGCTGCTTCTTACATTTGTAATTCACAAATCGAGGGCAAAATGAGAAAGTTTTAACTTCAGGCTGCAAGTAGAGTGTGATTCTTACCTGCTGTTCTTCCTGTTATCTGAGTGGTGGTCTCTGTCGTTGTCAGCCAGATTGAGAGACGCCAAAGAAACGCTGGACACCGAGAAGCCTCGAGGACGCACCCCTGCAGCCGCAGCACGAGGTACGGATCAGTGTTTGCTGCACAGTGACAGTTGTGTGTTTTTTGTGTTTGCGTGTCGCTCACCTGTCGCCTTCACGGGAGGAGTAGACGACTCCATGACGTCCCTGTGGATGGATTTGGGCCGCGGCTTCTTCTTGAGACTTCCGGATCGAGGCTTGATGACCTCGTCCATGTCCTCCATCAGTTTGAGCTGCTTCCTCCTCATGTACTCGTTCTTGATGTATTCCCTCCTCGCCTTCTCGTCGTCCTTCTTTTGCTGCTCCTCTTCTGCTTTCAACCTGAGGAAGGGAGCCGAGGTGGGATTATTGTACGATTGCATACCTGAGTTGAAAAGGCGCAATTTGTGTATTAACCCTGTGAACCCCAAAACCTGCCAGCAGAGTTGGAAAAAAGCATCTTAATGTCATGTGGCAAAACATTAAGAGGCTGTTCATCTGAATTGGGATGAACTGTTCTTTGCACAGAGCATTTTGATTATTTACCCTTTATTCAACCAGGTGAGTCCCACTGAGATTGCAAGATCTCTTTTTCAAGGGAGCCCCGGCCAAGATGGCAGCAGCACCAAGTTACAGTTATCAAACATTTGAGACAAGCATGGAAACAAGTTAAAAATGTGAGCAGTAAAATATTAACAGTATGTACGGCGACCATTTCTTTTCCAGTTTTGATAACACCTGGGGACACTTAAAAAAGCTGCTTGTACATCTTCAATGTTCGTGTTCATTTTTTTGCTAAATAAACAATCAAAGAAACTCAAACTTCAAAATTCAAGCAACTTTCAAATTTGTATTTAAAAAAAAAAAGGATTTATGGCAATATAACTGTGCCATGCTGCACAAAAGACATTTTTGAGTTCTCTCTAGTTCTAGCCATGGCTGTGCTGCTTCCATGGAGTTGCAGGACTTTGCATTGTGGTGAAAAATAATCCCACCATGAGCAAACAGGCGACAGGAGCAAACAAGATGCCCACAAACTGTATGGGGTTCAGAGTACTGATGATCCATGAACAGTTAGACTGTACGTACCGGGCAGCTTCCCTCTTCTGCTCCTGGTCCAGCTCCTGTTGTTGCTTCCTCTCCTGAGCCTCCTTCTCCCTCCGCAGCCTTTTCTCCAGCAGAGCTGCCTTCTTCGCTGCCATGTCCTCTTCCCCTTTCACGTCGTCCTAGTTTTCATGGACAAGAGCACAAATACATACAGGGACTTAGATCATATCCACAAGAAATACTCAGTCTACACTTAAATCGTCTCCATTACAAGCTAGCCGTCATATTTTTTGATAAATGAGTTTTTAAAAAAAGCTCTGATGTTGCTCTGTAATCAACAGGACTACCATGAGTTTGTATTCGGGCGTTTTTTTCGGCCCAGATTCACACATATGAGCTCTGATGAGCTCACGGCTCAACAGGCACAAAGCTGCACACGTTGTTCCAGGCTCACACAATGTCAGATTGTTTCTGGTGCAACTCTCTGCATGTAGTATCACAGGACTATAGACCGTGTTGTTAATGAGAAGGTATTGAACTTTGCATCAGTTGCGGTTACTGCCGTGGTTCCAGACCTCAGGGAGCGGGTGAGCAGGGTGAATAATGTGACATGAAAGTAGAATAGATCCTTTTCACTGCAGACATTTTGACCCACCAAACACGGGCAACTGATAACAACATTTCCTATTTCATATACTTTTCTGAGTGCAGTAACTGTTTGTGCAGAGCCTGAGGGAAGCACCTTTTTTCTGTTAAGCTAAAAACATCTCCAATATTGTGAAACACAGGGAGCTTCTCTTTACATGGAAAAAAGGTTCCTACTAGCAATGTGAAGGTAATTTTACCAATGGTATATTGTAGATAATGGATATTATTAACACTGGGTCATTGATTTGTTAGTACACTACCCACAGACAGTTTCTATTTCAAAAGGGACATCTTTAGGTGTCCAATCAATAGACGAAAAGCCAAAAACATGCAGAAAAAAAGGTCCCAGTCTGTTTGACATTTTTGCTTGAAAAGTGACTCAATCAACAGTTCATTTATGAATGTAATTGCTGACTGAGTTTCTTGCTAATTTACTCAAAATCACCCAAAAGCAGTAAACTTTCCAGTCCATTCCCTAGAATTGTGTGTGTCCAGCTTGAGCGCAGACTCCAGCTCATGCTACAGATAATATTAGGAAAAATGTCTTACTTACTCAGGTTCTGTAGCTCCAACTCACCTTAAAGAAGAATCCACAGCACATCTTCTGGTCTTCTGCATAAACGTCTCCTCCTGTTTCTCCCTCTCCTGCCACCTCTGGCCCTCGGCCATCTGCAGGCTTCAGCCCAGACAGAGGCACCTCCACCAGGTCTCTCCTGTCCTGGTGGTCTTCCTTCACCCGGCTGCCTGCAGCTCCTTGGATCTCAGACACCGGCTGACGCAGCACTTCCGACGTCCTCGATTGTTTGACTTCTCCCTTCGTCTCTGCCTCTCCGCTCTCCTCGTGTTGCTCGTCTTCCTTCTCTTTGGCTTCTTTAGTCGCAGGCTGAGGAGTGCCAGCACTCTTCTTCGCCACGGTCACTTCTTTGTTCTTAGTGTTTTCTTTGTTGTCCTTGGTGTCTTGGTTCTTGGTCTCCTGGGACCCATCATCGTGGCCCAAGTAGGCAAACGAACTGATCTGGGTTTGGCTGGGAGTGAAACGCCTCAGTCTGGGCAGGCTGTCCACTGAAGTGGGGGTGTTGAGCATGCGGCTGAAGGGGGTGACCTTCAGGTCGTTTGGACGCGGAGTTCGAGGTGTTCTGGCATGGAAGGAGGCTGGTCGTCGCTTAATCCCGGCTGGGGAACGATTGGGGGCGCGGGGAGAGCCAGAAGAAGACAGGATGGGGGATAAGGACCCCACCGAGCCTCGGCCTGATCCCCGGCCTGTTACGCTGCTGCTGCGCAACTCACGGAGCTGCCTGTGTGACAAAATACCCACAATTATGTTCACGGGTGGCAAATTACAGTTTCCAATGGCCACATCAGTTTAAAGAATGAACTGATACCTGTGTGGAGACGGAGCGGGAGGCGGGATGACCCAGGCTTGTTGATGTTGCTCTCTCATGGCCATGATCTTCTCCTGTTGCTGAGCCAAACGCTGCATCTCCGTCTGCAGGAAGCCCAGCGACGTGTTCAGCCTCTCGATGGAGCGAGTGTATTCTGCCAGGTCGATCTCTCCCGGAGCCACACCTGCATCACCACAAACACACACAGGGTGGTTATTCAATTACTGTGAGAACAATCACTTGCAACAGCTAAAAGCACAGTGGAATATAAACACTGAAAAAGTTCCTGCTCTTGCTTTTCCTATTGTGGGATTTAGTGCTGAAACAACTAATTAGTTTGTGGTTAGCTCCTGAACCCTGCGCTGCAGAGCATCACTGACCTTTGAGCAATTCCTACTGGGCCACATGGAAATTAAATGACTGGGCAAAGCAGCTGAACAGTAAATAATCACTGCATTTTTCTCCTATTACTCCTGTTACACACCCAAACATAAGCAACAATAATGGGATTTTTTTTAGCTATAGTATGTCACAAAAATATGATGTAAGCAGATTATTCATAGTTAAGCATCAGTGTGTCAGTGGTGCGTTGTCGTTGTGGCTGCTGCAGGTGGAGCTGGTTAAAAATACTTTACAGATAAACCTGAGGGATCATCGGATGATTAATTGGAGAGGAAAGAAGAAAAAAAAAAACACAAATCTGTTTTTAGTTTTTGTACATTATTCTCTAATCACTGATTTTTGGTGAGATTTTTTGTTGTTTTTGACATTTATTGAAATGAAACCATGTGAGAAGTTCAGAGGGGAAAACCACTGTTTGGTGGAGCTGTTAACAACCCATAGATGTCTGAAATGTGGCCCAGACTACACACTGCTTTTTGTAAGATGTTAAAGCCAAAAAGGTCAGAAAACAATAGTTTAACAGTGTCTTTGAAAGGCTTGCTATTTCATCCATTGTGTCAAATCTATCTGAAAGGTCACTAAAGCTGTTGGAGAAGGAAGTACGTAAAGAAAAGTGGCAAACAAAGAAAGCAGCATAAAAGAAAATGAGTTAATTCAAGTACAAACACCTCAAATGATTGTACTTGAGTAAATTTTCCACCACTGCCATTGTACTGGCTTGTTATGTCCTCTGCAAGATTGTATTTAGCCACAGTTGTGCTTCAAGTCAAATAAACGCACAAAACTAATGAGCTAATGCTCAGTGTGATCTTTTGCATGCAACATTTGCCAAACACAAAGTGTACAGGTGAAGCTGTATTAAAAAAAAAGCAGTGGACTAATCTGCAAAATTTGCAATATCAAGATGTCGTCTTAGTTAAACTACAACGAGGATGTTTTATAATTTTCTGGAATTTTAAATCTAAAACAATGACTTGATGAGAACACCGTGTTGCTGTGTTTAAGCTGATCACCCACCGCCACCATCTTCACAAGGGGTTTTGGGAGCCGCTCCGTCCGGCTTGCACCTCTCCGCCCGCTCCATGCCGCGCTGGCTGTTTTCCTTTCCGGAGGTGAGAGGCTCCGGTGACGGCGTCTCTGCTCCTCCTGAGCTGGGGCTGACGGGAGCTGTCACTCCTTTCCTCCTCACTACATTCAGAAAGGCAGTCCTGCCCATTCTCTGGCGGTGCCGAGTGAAAGCCGCTTCCACCTGAGAAATACGAAGAGATCAGCATGATGTTTACACTTACAGTTGAAGCTGCACTACTGGGCACCTTCCCTGCTGCACGGCTGTTTACCTTCTTCTTTTGGGCTTCGATGGCTCTGCGTTTCTCCTCCAGCTTCATTCTCAGCTGAATCATCTCTGAGGCGATGATGTTGGAGGGGTCTCTGGGTGAAGTAGTTATTGGAGAGGGGGATGTGATTGGCAGGGGAGGTGTGGAAATCTAGAAAAAAAAAAGAAATGTGTGGATTATTGACATAAATTCAAACAGCACATCTGCCTCTGCGTTGTAAGTTGTAATACGGAAACATCTGTGTGAGAGATGCAGAATCATCCACAAACCTGAGAAGGACTGGTTCTTGCTGGGTGTGTATATGGCACATTGAGATCTGAGCTCTCTGGTGTTGTTCCTCCACTGCTCCTTCCCTCTAACTTCCTGAACTTTTGCTCAGCGAAGCTCGTCATTCGCACCAAACCGCCCCCAGAGCCACCGGAGGATGAAGCCGGACTCATTGTGTGTGATCTGGGGATTGTGGGGGCAGAACTGGGGCAAGGGCTGCCTCTGTCACCTCCATCTCCCCTTTCACCCCCAGGGTTAGTGTCGGCGACCCCTTTGTGTCCTCCTTCCTTGGTTTTCTCTCTCTCCGGCCTGTCGGGCAGAGGACACGACCGGGTCGTGGCCTCACAGTCTGGGTCGATATCTGAATAGTCTCTTAGGGAGGAGGAGTCCTCATCCAGGCTCTGGATGTCGTCAGTCCGCACATGGATGCCCGTGTCCACTTCATCCGTGGATACGGAGTTGGGATCGTGGTCATTCAGCCGAGCTTTAGCTGAGCCCAGGTCGTCTCCTTGACCTTGGGCCCCTGGAGGGTCTGAAGGTTCTGCACCGTGGAGAAAGAAGCCATTGTCTTCGTCCCCAACGCCCAGGCTGGCGTGAGGCCTTTCAGTGTCGTGGATAATCTTCAAGGCCTCCTCGATGCTCGGAGGGGTCGATGGGCTGATGTGACCTGTGTGGTTGTCATGGTGATGGCTGGGGCTGTTGCTGTCTGGTAGGACTCCATTGGAGTACCTAAGGACAAATCCAGGTAAATTAAAGGATAGTTGGACACGTTGTTACTGTTTATTTACAAAACGTCGCTCTACTGTACCTGCTTTGGTTCTTGACTGAGAATGTGTTGTTCCGCCCCAAGGGTTTGTGGGAGGTGAAGTCCTCATCCTCCTCCGGGATGTGCCTGCTCTGCCCGTTTACGCTGACGGGCATGAGGGAGAGGTTGCGTTTCATGCCTCCTCGGGATGCATAGTGAATTTTGAACCCAAGACCGTCGCTGCTGGCTGAGCGGGTCATACCGCGGAGGGACGGAGCGTCACAGGACGGCAGGGTCGGGTCTCCGTCCAGAGGAATCTCAAAGGAGATTCCCCGAGAGGAGGATCTGAAGTAGGGAGAGGGAAGGAAATGTTTTGTTAGTTTAATGGAGAAACAACAGAGCACTTAAGAAATGTAGGTCAATGAAGGTTTGCTTTAGCAGCGCTGACAGATTTCATGTACTCACTGTTTTTCTTTGGGCCATGTCCCCACACAGCCATCTACATAGGACATGGAGGTAGATCTCTTCATTATACCTGTTGGAGACGTTTAAGTTTCTTATTAGATGTATGAAATCCTTTACAACAAATGTGGCACTGGTTAGATATTTACACAGAGTAGAATGACTGTGTTTACTGTGAGCAAATATACACGGTTATAACTGACATAATATTAATTGACATTCTACAGATGATTTTTCATTTTAGTGGCTAAATATTGAATTACAGCACTTAGCAATTACTTAAGACACAACAGTTGTTGCATGTCTATAAGTCAGTCACTAGGGGGCCTCTGGATTCAAAACAAAAACTTCCACTGTTCACTTTTCATGGTCAGGTAGCTGCTCTAAGTAGTGATTATTTAAAGAGATACAGCACACTTAAGCATGTGAAAGTTGTGCTAAACATGACTGTGTTATGACTTGCAAGAAAACTGAACCTATTTAACCTTCCGAACCCTGAAAAACCACCAGCATGTTTGTCTGGTATGGCATATTTGATAAAATCACAAAAGTGACAAAGTCTAGCAGAGCCAGAAACGACAAAAACAGAAAGAATTGCAGTATTTTATTTCTACTTTTTGACAGTTCTTGAACTACTTATCTGTGACTTGTTGTCCTGCTGGGAAAATTAACATTGTGATATTTCAGAAAAATCACTGAATTCTACATGACTTGTTTTAAACCATGACTGACTCATCTGCGATCAACAGGTACGTGACAAATATTCAGTAACTTTTTGGCTGAACTGCAAACTGTGGTGTTATGACTGTGTCACACTACGCTGTGTGTCTCTACTTCTAGGCAGGGTTGTGTTACTTCTATACTTTTTATTGCAGTGAAAAATGAACCCACAGTGAACAAAAATGTAACAGGAGCAAATAGCACCGAGAAACTCCTTGGGGTTCAGTGCGTCAAACAAGCATTTTGACACTTCTGCCCTTGTGATCACTGGTTTCTACCCTTTGGATAATATTTATTTTCGACGACTATTTATCAGTCAAAAATGTAAAAAGTACTGGAGCACACACATCCACACTGATTACAGATATTTACCTTCAGCAGAGATGTTCTCCGGGCTGGAAGGTCTGTCTGCATAGCTCTGTTTAACTGGACTGGACACAGGCGCCATATTTCTACATACAGGCTCACAGGCTGCAGAAGAAAACACGTCGTCAATATGCAACTGCAGCTTCGAGTTGATTGTTGGACAATTAACATGCACAACATGACAAAAGGTAACAGCTGCATGCAAGTAATATTGTAAAGTTGTACTGTACCGTTTGGATCGAACACTCTGGGCTGCACAAATGAGGGTTTAACCACTTCAAACCACCAGAAAAGCTCGGCCATAAACACCAGGTAGTTACTCTGCAAGACCACACACACACACACACCTCAGTGGTTAATGTCACACATGTAGTTATTCATCACCATTAGCACAGCGTTTGTTTTTTTTGCAGTCGTATCTCCTCTTAAAACATCTCTCTGAAGGTGCTAAACGAGCCACAATCACCATATTATATGGCATTTTGATGGATCAATGAGGTCACGGCCAGCCAACTGTTGCTAGGTAACTGGCTCAGGTGTGTGCGTGCATGTACTTGAATATCTGTGCATGTTTCATTGTCTGAGTTGTTTAATGTCAAACCCAGGCACCTCGCTAAAACTGCCAAAAACACCATCTGGGGTTTAGTTTAAATATGTCACATATGCACAGATGGATGCACAGAGCAGCGAGTGAGTAACGGCCACGATGAGAAATGCATTCACACAGAAAGGCTGCGTGCAGATGATTTCATCTGTAAGAAACCATTTGGTCAGATCAGTTTATTCCAACTCTAACGAGGGCAGCAAGACCAACCAAAGCTGTTATTTCTACTCCTCTGGACTTGCTCACTGAGTGAACTGCTGAATAACAACAACAGCATTTCTCTTAATGCAATACATTAAATGAACAGACACGTGCACAGAAACGCTGGTTAAGATTCTGCGGGCAGTGGATCTGTGGTGAATGGGCAGTGTGCCAGTGAGTCTTTAACTTGTCCCCTGGTTGTACTAATGTTTATACCACTATACAGACAATGCACACACACTATAAACAATGTAGTGAATGAGAAATGAGGAGAGAAACCCGGAGCAAAGAGTGCACAAGTGTGAAAACTGTTGCGTTGTTTTAAAGAATGGAAAGTCCCAGTCAGCTGCGACCGTGACTTGAATCCGAATGTTTCTACCCACGCTCTCCGCATACTATTTACCCACACTGGCTGAGCTGCTTCTGATGTCTGGATGGCACAGAGATGCTCTTAAAGTTACACGCTACTTTTACTTTTATCAATCAGACACAAATGAGTATGAAATGGGAGATCTCTGCCTGAGGATGGAGCGAATCTGCTGTTGTTCCATCTGTAGAATTCACAGATTTTTGTTGTTGTTGTTGAGAACAGAAGGGATTTGAAGGGAAGAGAACAAGGGAGGTAGGCAGAGACGGGTCGGGATTGTGAATCTCTTCCGAGCTGAATCTGTCCTCTGTCTGAGTGGGGAGCGGGGCGGAGCGCTGTATCCAAAAAGCACCAATACACACTGAGGCTGTCATAATAAATATATATTTATAGATAATCTGACTGCAAAGCAATATTCAATGCAGCAAAACGCTATTTATGTCTCTAATACGTGCACACACATACACACAATGACAATCCTCGTGAGAGTCAAGCCTACGCTCACATTGAGTATTAAACTTTTCCTTGAATGACTCATTTTTGCCTATTTGTGATTTCCCACCCTTCCCTTTCAGCTATTCCCTGAAACACTTTTTCTTTTTATCCTTTCTTCAACTAAATCGACATCATGAAAGCAGCACTTTGCACACATTCCTCCCCCCTTTCTTAAAAAGAAAATATCTGAATAGCGGCCCTCCTACCTTTACGGATGCATGTGCGTAGAGCAAATCCTCCAGGCTGAAGTGGCAGCAGTGGTTGAGGTTGTTCCTGCAGAACTCCTGCACCAGCTGGAGGTTGTACAGACTGTCAGCCAGAGACATGGTCTCCTTGAGGCAGATATCTGCACCGCCATGGGAGGGGTCAAACACAAACACACAAGGGAGGGGTAACGGCAAAGGCCAGACAGGAAGACAAGGAAAAGATAAGACTCAGTTTATGTTTAAAAAAAAAGGAGTACATGAGAAGAAAATGACCCTACTTTCCCCGCTAGTATTTATATGTGCTGATTTGAATCACTTGAAACCCTTGAAACAACTCATGGCACAAGTTTTCAAACCGTCCTCAAGTCCTTCGAGATGAATCATCAGGATTTTTATCCCCTGACGTTGCCTTAAGGACGGCCCATGCATGTGTAGGATGTCTCAGGCAGCGGAGCGTTACAGCAGCTGATTTCTCTGGAGCGAAGTCATTCTGTACTTCTTTACTTTTTTGTTTTTTTTTTCAGAAGAAAATCAAGCTGCCAAGGCCTTAATAAAGTACAGCTTGCTTTCACATCTGGTTCGCATGTGTGTGTGAGCTCCCTGTGAACCACATTTGATCCCAAGAGTCTCAGCGCGTCGACACAAGAGCTGTTTATCTTTGAAATAGCAGTTAGCTACTCCGTCACATCCCCCCTCGTGACCAACCACATCCCAGCCCAGAGCATTTTAAGAAATGACGGCGGAGGCAGGCTGAGAGGAAACAAGCCTTTGTTTTGCTTTGTCTCGTTCTCCATGTCTGTCCTGAACTCTATCTGCTGGTTTTTTTCCTTGACAGAGTCCTCTCTTTATACCATTAACAGTAAATACAGAAAACACAAACGGGGCTTATAATCTACTGAATTTGTTGTACTTTACGATCAGAATGACAGTTTGTCTGTGCTGCCGAGAGAACACTTTCCCCTCTGCACAATGCTGCCAAACAGAATTAATTTGTAAAAAAAAAGAAAACCTCAGAAGACGAGAGCTAATGCATGATAAATACACTCTTTGTTTCAAGCAGCCCATTCAAATGGATTGTTACAGCAGCAGTGACAGCAGAAGACAGAGTCCTTTGTGTTGTCCAGCTGAGACTAAAAATGGTTTCCAGCATTCTTCCTTTTTCGAAGCGTACGACTGAACTGACTTCGGCCTTGTGTGTTTGCTTTTTGGTATAAGTGCACTGAAGAAGAAAGTGGAGTGAGTAAGAGTGGGTGTGGCTGCAGACGGACCCCACCTTCCAGCCTGACGGCCTGTGGGCAGTAGAAGTGCAGCAGGGCGGTCAGGGCGCAGCCGTCTGTGTTATCCTTCAGCAGGTTCTCCACCAGGGGGAGCGACGGAGCGCTCCTCTGGGCATGCTCCCTTCTGTAGCGAGCCTGAAACCATGGCAACGGCACAAAGACATCACCTATATGTGTCATCAGGGTGGGGATGTACAGTTGGCTCTCCGATTATTGGGACACACACACATACCAACACACTGCATGCACGGTTCAATCACACTTAAAGAGTGTTAAAGTGTTAATTTGAGGAATTTCAAGCACACAACTGAAATGCAGATTAAACTGGTCATGCAAACAGTCAGACAGGAGCATACACGAAATAAAATGAAGCTACGTTTAGAAGTAACGCTCGACATTATAAAGCATAACATAATTTTGCTCGCTGTGATTGCTTGTGAGGAATGGTTAGTTCTTTACAGGAACGCTGAGGAGCAAAATGCATGCTGGCAAATGGATGGTTTCTGCCATTATACATCTGCTGAGAGTTCACTGGCACTGAGGCAGTCTGGTGTGCTGCTGTAGCAGACAATGCATGTGATTTAGAGTTTAATAATCATCTGTGTCGGCGCGTCTACAGGCGTCCTCCTTCCCTCTGCCTGTGGATTTTCCCTATGTCTCTTTGGGCCTGTTAAAAGCCACAGAGACAATAATAGTATGTATCTTTGGGGCATCAGCGCTCCCAGTTTGCTCATAAACACACAAAAGTTTTGTCACATCTGCATTTTTACAATGGATGTGATGAACGGTTCAATCACAGCAGAGCTCGCCGTCTCACTGAGTCTGTGCATCGAGCTGCGAGGAACAAACTGTACTGCATCAACATTTAATACGGAACGTCCTTCACAGCCAATTCAAACTGTTTTCAGTGCACAGTTCAAACAACGGAGATGTCAAATCAAACCAGAAAAATGAGACACTACTGAGGCAGGGTTATTAGGTTCAATGAAGCTTTTCAGTGGAACATCTAGTGTTCATGTGATCATGCTACTGGACTGTACTCAGCTACTGAACATAGAGTTCTCTGCCTTTAATGATGTATCTCTTGTTTCTAAGTACATGAGGACGAGGGTCGGGCTGGGAGGGTGGGAGGTTTCCCAAACTTATATTGGGGCTCAGGGCCACATGCAATGACAAACAAGGCAACCGGAGGGAAGAATGCGAAGGGCGGGATTCGGGGGGAGAGGAGGTAGTTGGTGGAGGTTTGTCGAGGAGGTGTTCTTCAGAATGGATGGACTTACAGGTACTAATCTCCAGTACCATTTGCTAGGAGACTTGATGGTGGATGATGATTGGACAACAACAGGAGAGAGTGGGATAGGCATTAGGCCAACAGCAGGGAACAAGTTGTGCTACTACTGCAAGGATGCATGTCGCACCGTTGCACAAGCTACATTGTAAAATCTGCATCAAAACACACAGAAACAGACAAGTATGAGAAGCATCGGCTGGAACAGAAGCTGCAGTTGTTGTTGAGTGTTTTCATGCACCCATTGGTTTTACCATTATGATTGTAGTAGTGAAACAAGCTTTCAAATTAAAACAGTAAGAGCTTCCCCGGTTCCCCTGCCTTGCTCTATAAATAAAACTTGACACAATGGTTCTCTAACAATTAATGAGTGTTTATATTTATCTGCCTAGATGGTAATTTTACTAAAAATATTAGCTATAAATTGCCATATAGGGAGCAATTAACAGGGACTTCTTTTTGCACTCTGTCTAAATCACAATCAATCCAAAAAAAACAAAACTAGTTTCTATAGCTAATGCTGGTATGCCTGAAATATCTGTACCCCAAAAGTTGAGGTTTGATATGAAAAAAATGCTAAATTACACCATTTTTTCACTGTAAAAACAGAAAGAATCAGCAGATTTAGAACTTTTCAGAGGAGCTCAAACTGCTCATCTGTGACGTCCAGTCCTGTCAGACAAATGAACCAAGCCTAAAATCGAGATATTTAATCAAAATCACTACATGTCTGTTGGGGTTTTGGGTTGTCACTGTACAACTATTCTGCATAGAATTTGTGCTCACTACTACTTTTTACTTTATGCTGCTATGTAACACACAAAGGAAATCTCTTCATTGTAAATTGTTGTGTTTGAAAATTCAATAAAAAGATCATTGATTTAAAAAAAAAAAAAAAATCACTACATGTCTCACGTTAATAATAGTTATAAAATAGTTCATTTGTCAAAAATAAACCACTTGCCCTCATCACATTTTGTAAAAAAAAAAACTAAAAATGCTGCAATCCTCAGTGTGACTATGAAGCAATTTGAAGCTGCAACCAACAGTCATGTGATAAAAATCCAGGGAGCTGAACCGCAGACTTTGCCAAGTGGACAGAATAAAAAAAAGAAATTCAGCTTTCAACACCCAAAAATGCATCTGATGTTAACAGACCATTTTTGCTTTACAAAAGGAACAATTTGCCCCAAAGTGTCACCAATATTATAAAGAAATCTCCTTTGAAAGACAGACAGTTAAAAACGCATATTAACATGATCACAGGCTGCTAAAAACAAAGGTATAGGTAGGTATTAATCATCTTAGTTTAGCTTGATAGGAAGCTGACATTTGCTAATTAGCATTAACAGGAATGTGAGTATTTACAAATGAAGAAATCGATTTGTTGAGTGTACTAGAATAAAAATCATCATCATAGTGAGTTGATTTCATCCTCTGGGGACCATGAATGTCTGTATAAAAATCCATCTCAGTTGTTTGAATTGTCATCTTCAGAGCCATGCTACTAGTGATACGGAAAATAAATAAATCACAGGATTTTCCCCATTTAGGAAATCATAAAGTAACTACATGTTTGAACAATTTGATAAGCTTGCTGTGAGTATAGATTTAATCCTTTGTTTATTAGTGCATTATAATGTTGTGCAGTGTGATGTTATGCAGCAGCTGATGTCCTGTCAGTCTATCAAACGCTGTATAATGAGTGATATGTGGTTGCAAATATAAAATGAACTAAGGTGATATGAGGTTATGGCATACAATGTAAGAGTTTCAATAACACCAGTCAGTCATAAACTATTCAGTCAAATACATACCTACATAAAGAGCAAGTAATTATTAATTAATAGCACATAAGTATGAAAACAATAAACACAAATGACTAATAACTGTAAGCCTGGGACTACGTGGTGATGAAGCTCTAATCAGGATTATCAGCCTGCACAATGCAGCAGCGCACTAAAGTCGACTAAAGACAAATGACTCAAGTCAACACATGTCCTCGGCTGAGGTCTGCAGTCTAAGCGCATTTTCTACTTTTCTATTTATTAAAATTGCATTTAAAAATGAATGCGAACAGGCTATCTCAACCACAAGACATTCAAGCAACTTGAATTCCTGCAAAAGAGTCGATGCGTGGAACTTAAATGTGCATAAAGAATCTTAAGTTTCATGTTCTCTGATGTTATTACAGTACTTGTCCTGATGTTTTAGGTTCTGGTATCAGGTCAGTATCAGTGTCGATATGTTTGGACAGAATCCGCAATGTTACGTATCACAGGTCTGAAAAGGGATACGCAAGCACAGTTTACTAATCCAGGAATGTCCAAGCAAAACTTTCTAGCTGAATTTAAGGCTTGACTATCTATCACAGAACTGTTCTAAAGCGTGACCTGCAACCGAATCCAACGAATCATTTCCACCTCTCTCCTTCCACTAAATTTAATGAAATCTGCTGAAAACAGGATCTACAACTTCACCTCCTTGTTCGAGAACTGCACAATCCTCTGATGATGACGACGTGTGTTTTCCTAACTTTTCCCTCAGTCATATGTAAAAGCACCTACAGTATGTGGAGCACAAACATTCTCAGTGTCCACAAACACAAAAAAAGGCTGAGTGCTGAGTCACAAGACCACAGTTAAAGACTTTTCACACCGTCCCAGAATAGACGAGACTCACTGAGAGGTGCCTTGTGCTCATCTTCTGGTGTGTGTGCGTTTGCAGAGGCATATGTGTGTTCGTGTGAAATGATGAGCTCTCAGTATGTCCTAATGAGTGAATAGACTTCTGTTGAGACTGATAATGCAGAGAAGGAGCTGTGTGATTGGAGCGTGGAGCAGGAAAAGCAGCTGACTGACAATGAGCGTCCAGTTATTCCTCACATTCTTTAAAAAAACTGTCTTCCTCCCTTGTTGTAACTTGTTGCTTTGGACAAAGCCCGAGTCTGTAAATACGAGGTCACATGTTATCTGCTTACAGAGCGATCGCAATAAAGGCCGCGATCTCTCTCACTATGCTAAAACAAAAACAGACAGCGAGCGGGAGGAGAAAATTTGCCAATAAACTCCCGCAACAGATAAAAGCTCCCCTCTGACTGATTTAACCACTCGTGACTTTCCGCAGCTCTTTGAAGAGCGAGTTAGTTCTGTTCCACATGAGGGAAGGCGTTCACACGTGACGCTGTGCTGCCGCTTTACAACCTGTTGTATGTAAACACTTTAATCCACGATAACATGTGTTCCCAGGCGGGCTCGAGGCTTTAAAGTCACTTCATCAGTCAGTCCACCAGATGGAAATATCTCAACAACTACGCCATAAAATTCTGCATTCATACGTTCATGTTCCTCAGAAGAAGAATCCTGACCACCTTTCCTCCAGCACAACCACAAGCTACACTTTATTGCCGTGAGGGAGATGTGTCCAAAAACATCAATAACCGTGACATTTTGTAATCTCTGAACCTCAAGCAGTTTCTGGATTTTCTTTGGTCTTGTCACATTTGTAATCATGTGGGCTCATTTTTAACTGTAATATAAAGTCCAGTATGACACAGCGATGATGACATAAATCATACAAAAAGAAAAGTTCTTTTGATTTTACAAAATTGGAAAAACCTGGATGAACATGTGTAATATTTGATGTTGTCACTAATGACCTCATTGTTGCACTTGAGCAGAACACAGAATCTAATTTATATTTGGCAAATTTTTCACATGAGAATGAAGCGATTTTAATCAAATACAACAATTTGAAGCTTAGATTTGGTTAATTTTCTTAAAAGCTGTGAGTAGTTCAAGAATCAGAAGACAGTTGAAAGTCAAAACGATTTTTTTTTTTTACGATTCTCTGTAAAAAATAAACTGTAATTTATTACTAAATCAGCATAAATCCACGCATATCAGTCTGTTTAACACTTTTCCCAGACTCAAAAATCTCCATGGGTTTGATTACTAGAAATTTTGTGCAGACATTCATGTTTCCCAGAAGATGAACCCTACTTTGGTGGTTCCCCTCAGTTCCTCTGGTTCTACCATGATGGCAACATTCCCATTAGCCAGCTTTATGTTGGGTACTAGTTAGCCAATATTAGCATGTTTACGTTCGATAAGTGCAAATATGGTGCTAATTAGATCTAAAAATCCTAAGCATGTTTTCACTCATTATTCTGCCATGCTGTCATTAGCATCTAACACAAACCAGCGACTAAGCAGAGCCTCACAGAGCGACGAGGACGGCTTTACACTCTTGGTGAGCACACCAATGAGCTGAAGCGATCTTTAAAACCACACAGTTTCACTCTGTGGTTATTATGACTGTTACACATTCAAAGCTTCAATCAGTGTTTATCTCTCTGAGTTCATATTGAATAGCAGGAAGTTAACCGAACAATCGCCATTTGCCACATGTACAATTTGTTTTTGCCAACGTAAATATGGGTTAGGGTTATGGGTTATGAAATATTATTTATTTGTCCATTTTTTAAACTTCTCCATCTCATCAGCGTATTTAGAGCTTTGACCCAAGCATCACGGTTAATCCAAAGTTTCTCAAACATTTTGACTCACTTTGTGTTCATTTTTCACCACAATATGAAGTCTTGAGGAAACTGCACAACCATGACTAAAAGCAGAGAGAACTCAAAAATGTCTCAACAAAGTCATAGTACCATAAATCTTTTTTTTTTAAAAAAGCTGAAGTTTTATTATTGAGTTTACAAAAAAATGTAAAAACCTGAAATTGCCATGTACGACAATTTTCTTTGTGCAAGCAGGTGCTACCAATTCTGTGGGAAAAAAATGGTTGACTGTAAATACTGTAAACATTTTACTATTTGCAATTTCTATTTTGCTTCCATGTTTGCCGTCTCTCTGCTCGGCATAAACACAGCCTGCAGCTCGGCTGAAAAGTCCTAGAATTTTTTGTCACGTGAATGTCGGTCACGGCTGAATCGATAACGGCTTCGCGGTTGTGTCGAGGAGTGACAGAATTTTTTTAGTTACTTACACAATCAGGTTTGTGTAAACTGTTTCTTTTTTGGCTAATTCTAAAATGACACAAGTAGAATAAAGTTATTTTTGATGAAATATCTCAATTCGAAGCTTACATTCACGACATTTTTTCCATTTTGTAGCATGAACTTGCCTTTTGACGGCGGGTTTTGGGGTTTACAGGGTTAAGTGAGTGGAAGAGGATGGTAGCCGACTGCTGCGTTTGTGCCAGCAGACTGCCTGGTTGTGTCACACAGACCTTACATAACTACGAGGCCTGCAGGATGACGCTGCCTGTCTGTCTGACTCTCTTTGGCTGCAGCTGACAAAGTTCCTGACTGTTTCTCTCCATGCCTCCCCGACGTGGTGTCAATTCTCCCTTTTCCCCCCCTATCTCTGATTATCCCTCTTCTTCTCTCTTTCTCCTCGTCTGTCTGTCTCTCCTCCTCTGCCCTCTGCACATTTCTTTGTCTCCTCTAACAGCAGTGTGGCGACTCCGGCCAACATTTCTCTGCAGCTGGCCTGAGACTGAGCTCATCTGTTCCTCTGATTTGCAGGGCGCTGTGTACTGCCCTGTTTGTACGCTGACATGTGCTCGCGCCTTTGAGCAAAAGTTTAAAAAGCCATTTAAAATGTTTCAAATCCATGAATAGGAACTTCTTTCCGCACCCCTGTTATCTGAACGTCTGAGTTTGTCTCTTACTTTGTGCGTTGCAGCGTTTGACTCCTGGAAAGAAGCCTCTCTCAACTTCTGCTCTTCTACGAGAATGTCCCTCAGGTGTTCGTTCACCTTTGGAGAGGAAAAAAGAAAAGAAAAAAGTGACAGAGAGAGAGAGAGAGAGAGAGAGCTCGAGGTCAGATTTCACACAAACATTTGGTGGGCTGAATGGTGCGTCTGTGCTGAGAAACTTGAACATGAGAATAAGAGGCTCCACACATCAAAGACGAACTTTTCACCACCGTCGCTACTCATTAACTACCGATGCTAAATACTACTGTAACGTGATACACAACTGAGTCGACTTCCAGCTCAAGCACGGTGTTAAAAGAACTTCAAAGATCTCTCTACTGAGAGTATTTTTTTCTTAAAAAGTCCCGTCCGTTTTACGATCGCTGCTATTCTTTGTTTTCATAGCCTCTGTACAAACGCTGACGTAACATTCCGGCCTGAGGATACACAAGGTCACATCAGCCGTCCATGGCATGCTATGTCTACACAGAGAGAGACAACCCCCATGTTTTAATGCGAGTGTGTGTGAGTAGATGAATCCTGCATGTGTGCATCTTCCTGTCTTTGAGCAGAAAGCACATGAGCTTCTTGTCTGTTTAATTCATGCCATATTGAGGCTTGTTTCTTATTCGTTTTGAACAAAGAAAACTTAAATCATCCTCATCAAACACATCCTCATGAGCAGCAAAAACTAATTCAAGTAACTTAATAATCCGCAGCGTGACAAAGTAAACTAAAGATGCAGCAACAGAGATTTAACTACCGTCTTCTCAAAGATTAAAGAACACTCGAGGTCTTGTTTCACCTTCCCGATCCAGCTTTAGCAGACCAGAGGCGGCTGGGCTGAGTCAGTTATCTCTTTGTAATCTCTCCTGACATTATTACATGTGGTCGGTGCTTGTTTTTCATCTGGTGTCTTATTTGATTTTAAACCAGAATCGCTCCGACACGCTTTCGTGTCTGCTAAATCCGCAGGAAAACAAAGAGCGGCGTGTCGGATGGAGAGCAACCTTTGTAAAGGGCTCAAGGATGTGTGCAGTTGTTGTCCTCTGTAAGGAGACACCACGTGTCCTTGCGGTTTCGTGTGCACGCAGATGTGCTCGTCTTGCGTGTACCTTGTTGATCCAGGTGGTGATGGCGTCCTCGGTGTCGTAAGGCAGCTCCTGGATGTGTCCATCGGTGTGTGAGGGTTCGGCCGAGGAGTATCTGTTGATGCAGGACATCACCCGCTCCACGCTCACCATCTCCACCGTGTACGCCATCATCAGGGTGTCGATGAGCGCCAGGTGGGAACTCTGCACAAAAACACAGCAGAGAGGGCACGTTAGAAATAGAAATTCAACTGCAGAGCTAGAATTTCCTTTCACTGTCCTACTAAGCCCTAACATTTGCTCCTCTAGACTTTGGTACGTCTCATACAGGTCAGCTGGCCAACACGTTCCAGGTGTTTCTGAGGTGCAAAGTTGCTAAAACCTGTTGGAGTTGAATTCACTGAAATGATCATGATCAGTGATAGATATATTTTTAAATGTCAGCGAAAGTTTCCCAAAGCCCAAGATGACGTCCTCAACCCAAAGATATTCAGATTACTGTCATATAGAAGGAAAGAATCAGCAAATATTCAAATTTAGTTGTTCTTTGTCATTTACTCAAACTTATTAGGTCATTATCTATTCAATTCAATCCATCCATCCATCCATCATCTATACACCGCCTAATCCTCATTGCGGTCTCGGGGGGGCTGGAGTCTATCCAATCCGACTTCGGGCGAAGGCAGGGGACACCCTGGACAGGTCACCAGTCTATCACAGGGCTACACTTAGAGACAGACAACCAAGCACACTCACATTCACACCTACGGACAATTTAGAATCACCAATTAGCCTCAACATGTTTTTGGACTGTGTGGGAGGAAGCCGGAGAACCTGGAGAGAACCCACGCTGCACGGGGAGAACATGCAATTCAATCCAGTTTCAATAAATTTTTATTTATATGATGCAAATTCACAACAAGTCATCTCACAGCACTTAACATAGTACGACCATAGTAGACCGTACAAATATTGAACAGACAAGAAAACAATCCAAAGTTGCCTTTCGATTCCCTATGAGCAAGCGGTCGGCAACAGCGGGAAGGAACCAAAAACCAACCCGTCAATAGGGAGGAGGGAAAAAAAACCTCAGACAGAACCAGGCTCAGGGAAGGCGGCCATCTGCCTCGACCAGTCGGGGTGAGGGGGGATAGCTGAAGAAGTGGGGATAGCAGGATAGTAGATGGAGAGCAAGAAATACAAACAGAACAATAAACATTTTGGAGGTCAGTGCGGCTAGTGGCCACCGTTCAGAGACGTGAAGCTCCAGATCCAGAAACCCCCCCGCAGACAGAACAAGCACAGGACCTCAGGTGAAACATCCCTGACTTCAATAGCTGACAACTAATCAATACATTTCGCGGCTCTATCCGTGTGTCAAACCTGACCGGGACTTTGCTGTCGGCTCCACGGACTCCTGTGAAGCTGCTTTTACTCTCTGGTCAACACTCCACCCAGCCCTCTTGCCTGATGAAATTTGAGGCCACTTCATACTATTTTGCAGAGCTACTTTCGCTCTGCACACTTTGCCTGATGTTGTACTTGTGGAGTGGTTCTACCAGCCATCGACACCTACACAAAGCTTGACATTCTCCTGGCCTTTCTAATCCCATTCCAGGCCGGTCAAACCAACAGACCTCCCCTTCCTTTTCCTGTCACGCTACAGGTCCACTCCAAAACAGTTTTCGCCGTACATACATGTGTGTGTACGCAGGTGCCTTGTCGCTTACCTAAGCATCTCTCTGCGCGTCCGACTTAACTGAACAAACATCTAAAGTCTGCTGCTCTGTGATGCAGGTGACTCAAACCTACACAAACAAGCAGCGGCACGTTGAACCGCTACAGCCAGTGGAGCGGTCGGGTACAGGCCTCTATTCATAAGCGTGAGCAAGTGTTTCCCCCAAGAAACAAACTGCAGGTCCAAGCGGTACGACTTGTAGGATGCCACTGGTGCTCAGCAACATCACCACGAGTCGAACAGCCAGTCTAAACACACAGAGTGCGCAAATGTAAAATAGACTGTTGGAAATAAACTCCTCATGGAAACAAGTGTGAGGAAGCTTGAATAATATGTCACTGTAAGCTTAGGTCATATTAAATAAAAAACAGGCAACATGCTCAAGCTCATTCTTTATCATTTCTGTTTTTCATTGAGGCAATTTATTCCTTAATCCATACATTTTAGTACAATAATAAAAAAAAATCGATCAGAGGAGTTCAACCTGATGTCTGCACATGTTTCACTCCAGAATCCAGAAGCCACAAATGTATTCATAGCCTCCCATTAAAGAAGGAAAACAAAAAAAACAGGTGTCACTGAAATAAGTTGAAATTGACTAAAGTAATAATAGATAAAAATTTAATGAAAATCACAACATTGCTTTTGAATTGTGGTTCAACAGAAATATAAAAAAAAATCCAAACCAACCAAACAAAAAAAAAAAAACAACTACAAGCAGACAAGCATGATAAGACCCGTAAACTAATATTTTGTCGAACAACCCTCTGAGCCAATCACTGCAATTAACTCTCCATCAGACTTCTCCACCTGCACTGCTCATCAGCTAAGTGCTCCAATCTGTCCGGGACAGTTTTGTTTTTTTAAATAATTCTTTTCAACCACACTTCAAAAGCAATGTCATATTTCACAAAATTATAATTTAGCAAATTTTTATTTATTATTATTTTGTCAGTTTCTAGTTATTTGAGTGACTATTGTGAATTTTGCCTTTTCTTTAATGGAAGGGTATGAATAAATATGAGCATGATTGTATGTAATGTGCTGCGGTATAAGAACAGAAAGAGGCAGCAAATTGTTAGATCAGACAAGCCGGAACAAAGAATATTTGGTGTTTTTTCATGACAAAATGGCAACTAATCGCTTATTTAAACTGCTACTGAGTAACAATAATAAGGAGTTTATCATGAGATTGGTGCAGATGTAAAAGAAATACAATTTTAGCATTAAAAAAAACCCCAGAACTTTTAAAGTTTTATACACCGATTTATACACCAGCTAACATCCAGCATGCTACGCTGAACACCTGTAGCGTATTACATGAGTACACAACAGAATTGTTTGGTTTGGCGTTAGAACACACGAGTCTGATGTTGAACTGTGTAGGAAATAATCTGCAGACACTGTTTTGAATTCATACACCTTCAGGATATTGCCAGATATTTCACATTGTATGCATTCCCTTCCAGAGGTCCTGAACCACGTCTGGCTGACAGCTGGACTGACAGACAGACACAGAGACAGACAGACAGAAAGACAGACTGGTAGAGAGAGAGAAAGGAAGACAGGCCAAGCAGCTTAGACTGAAGCTGTAGATCCCCACACCATGATTTTCATGAAAAACCCACTGAGCTTTTCTGTGATTGAAGCTTTTCTGAACTCATTTGCATAAAACTCCTAAATCTTTAATGTTGTTAAGAAGCTTGTGTAGGTGTGTGCACGCTGGCGCACATGCGTGTGTGTGTCTGTTCAGAGTTCTGGGCGGAGACGCCACGTGAATTCAAATGATAGCGACAAATCACTAATTTCTTTTTCAGAAGGATTTTTGTAAACTAACATCTGAGTTTAAACATAGAAAAAAAAAACGCACGGATCACGGCCTTACTTTGCTTCGAGCGTGGAATGTAAAAGCTCGGCTCGCACCTGAAAAAACGGCATGTTTCGTATGTTTTTGAGGGGATTTTATTAAAAGTAATAGCCGCGGGGGGCTGACCAGATAGCTGAGTGAGTCGGGCACATTCCACACATACTGTAAACGGTGAATCCTCGGTTTGATTCCAAGAAAATCTGCCGCATGTCATTTCCTGACTCCTTTTCCCTACATTTACCTGTCTCTCTCTCCCTTGTCACTGTCTAATAAAAGCAAAAGAATGTGTTAATATGTATGTATTTTTGTGTTAAAGTGGAGCAAGCTGTTGGTTTGTGCACAGATTTACCAAATGACTTGCAACAGCTCTAATGAATGAGCTTTAGAGGTTTTGGCAGGCAGCAGTAAAGCCAGCTGCCCCTCCAGCCTTTATGCTAAGCTAAGACAGTTACATTCTGACACAGCTCTCTTGTTCAAGCACAGCACTACCTACCAAGACACAATCCTTGTTACGACGAAAGCCAGAGTTGTAAAATCTGACTCTATTACACAGCAAACCCAGTGTTCTGACATCCCATAAGGGTTCAGATTCATGGATCTGGTGCTGAAAATGGACTAGGATTGTATGTCACTGGACCTGAAGCGCTACACCCTCACCAGCGCAGCCAATTAATATTGTTTTAAAAGCTCCCATGATGGTGAAAATCAATTTTTATTGTATTTTGTGGTTGTTATAAACTTGGAGGTGTAAAAGCTGTAACCACATAAAGATGTTGACTTGTGCCATTCCTCAAGCTTCCCTACAACTACACAGCCTCCCAGCAGCTGAAGTTTACATCTGTTTGCTTCGCTTCTGCTCTCTGTGCTCACACATGTTTACTTACACTGCATTTTCATTTCATTTCCCTGTAAAGCTGTTGTCATTCGCAGGTTTTTCAGTTTCTGCTGTCAGACATTGGTACACATAGACAGTGTTGACTGAAACTCGGCCCGAGTTTCAGTCAACACCAATCAACAACCAATCTGCTGCTCTGAACTGCTAAACTATCAATTTTGTAACTGCAAAGATGTCTGATAAACTCACCATACACATAAGGTAAAAGATATTTCAATGTGAAATCTTTGCTCAGAAAAAGTCTCACACTCATTTATGTCTGTTTAAGCTACCACTGTTTAGGTCAAAGCTGTCAATCACAGAAGCAGAGAGAGTGTTTTTCCTGAAGTGGGTGTGGATGTCATCATCATCTGCATTTAAAGTTAAAGAAACTCAAACAGCCACTTCAAAACATGGCTTACATCAGGATTTACACAGTCATTGTACAATGAACCATCGGGGAAGTATTTAGAGCTGAAAAGACACATATGTGAGACTTTTATTTATGTAAATGGACTGCACTTATAGCGCTTTTCTACCTTAGCGGCACTCAAAGCGCTTTACGTTGTGTTTCTCATTCATCCATTCACACACACATCCATACACCAATGGCGACAGAGCTGCCATGCAAGGTGCTAGTCTGCCATTGGAAGCAACTTCGGGTTCGGTGTCTTGCCCAAGGACACTTCGACTGTGGAGGGGCAGGGGGTCGAACCGCCAACCTTTACCATCAGGGGACAACCGCTCTACCACCTGAGCCACAGCCGCTTGTTTTAGTCTAAAACCGTAAGAAAAGCCCATTTGTATATTGTACTAAAACATCAAACTATAGCTTGAATAACACTGGAGCCCTGCATTTATAAGTGACTCATAAGATTTAACTCCACTTCAATAATGTTCTTAAGTTAAACACAACCATTGTTTACATTCTCAAAGAGTTGCCCGCGTCTGGTTGTCTGATTGATGTACTCTTTGTCCTGTGACATTTTATTTAGAACTTAGATGCTCGCCCATGTGAACGTATGTTGGAGCACAAATGCACATATGGGTGTGAACCCAAGAGACGGACAAGAGAAAGACAGACAGACATCCAGAGCCTCTGCTCAAATAACTTCAGACTGTTCACATTTCCGCCGAGAGAAAGACGACACTGTTGACACTACGGCGTGAATTTAAAAGCCATGTGCTGTCTATTATACTTTCACAAAGAAATCTGGTGTGTGTGTGTGTGTGTGTGTGTGTGTGCAGAGAAGCAAGTCCAAACCCCTCACGGTGACAGACACGCCTTATAAGGCTGTGGAGATGGCAGACAGTGGTCATAAAGAGGTGCACAGAGCTGCAGTACGCTCATGCACACTATCTAACAGGAGCATCAGTATTCAGTCTCACTACTGTTGTATGGCTGCAAGTGTGTGTGTGTGTGTGTGTGCCCTTGATCAAAGGCGTCCATAGGAAAGGACAATACAGCTGAGCAAACAGATAATCAAAGTAGCCTCATTCTCCACAAACCTCACAAGTGTCTGTTCAGCGCAGGTTCACGCTCAAAAACATCCGACATCTGAGCAACACGAATGTTTTTCCTGCACAACTTTCCAGCTGCGGCTCTGTTAAGGTGTTACTGTGTGTTGCATTGCAATCGTCCAAAAAAAAATAATGACTTCTCCCACTATCTTTTGCACGCACGCATCCTCCGAATCTTTTTTTTTTTTTTTCACCGGAGAGCTTTTGGACGAAGGCACACGCCCCTCTGCAGGCAAATTCAATTACAGCTCCGTCTCTTTCTCTCGTCTGTCACTTTCTCGTCTCGGTGTTTCAACCCAGACACGTAAAATAAAAGTCAAAGAGGAACAGGAAAGTAAGGTCACGCGTGTCCTGCATGCACCACAGGAGGTCTGACACTCTTATAAAGGTGTGTGTTCATGTGTGCGTGCTTGGGGGAAAAAAAAAAAAAGGGGGGCTCGCATTTGTGCGCCAGACGTGCTTTGACTCTCTGGGAGACCCCACCCTGCACAGTGCTGCAGTAGTGCACATCACGTCTTCCTCCTACCTCCCTCCTTTCCTCTCCTTCAGCTCTCCCTACTCGTTGCTCCGCTCTCCTCCTCCATCGCGTCCCTTTTTTCCCCTCCTCTCCCCTCTTTCCAGATGGTCATATTAACAGCGGGCCTTTTCCACTCATTCTCTGGCACATAAATGTCCTCCTGACCGCCAAAAAGGCAATACCTCCTCTCCTTTACATCTTTCCTTCCCGCCTTTCCACAGCTTCCCCCCCTTTCCTTTCCATTCGCCTTCTTCTAGACTTTCCCTCTCACCCTTTCCTCTCTTCTCTTGCTCCACTTTCCTGCTTCCTCCTGGATCGGAGCCAAATGGCAGCCCCCTAAACTCCATCTCTTCCCCTCCCTTTTGCCTCGCTTTCTCTCTACAGTACATCCATTCGCCCTCTGACAGACTGCCACGCTCCTCCTTCTCCACCCCCCTCTCTCTCTCCGACATGAGTTATTCCTCTGTAGCGGAGTATTCGGAAAACCATGAGCTCATCAGTTTCTCTGCAGATATACCATAACCCAAAATGAAAAGCCTCAACTTTAGCGTGACTGAAATGATCCTGCTGAGTCCACAAATACACGCAGTTGCTCTGCTTTGCAGGACCAATCTAATGACTTCACAAGGGCACCGAGTAGCAGCAAGGATGGACAGATTAACTAATAGCCTGCTCTGAGTAACACAAATGAAGGTCAATGTGCTGGAGAGTCGACGGGCTATTTGTCTACTTAACGCCGCCGCTGAATCACCTGAAACACACACAGAAAAGTGCATCCATCCTTTAGCTTTGCATCAAATCCCCTCCCGTCTCTCCCACCTTCGTGACGGCGGTGATCAATGAATGACGCCGTGACTACAATCAAAGATAAAAATGTCACTGACTTTGAATTATCCCGTGAAGCTGGAAAGAAAAGGAGAGCAGGAAAAGGAGGAGTAGTAAAAAAAAAAAATACAGCTACAATAGGAGGGAAGACGTGAGGGGGAGAAAGGCGGGCTGGTTGAAATATGCTTAATGCGTAAATATGGCGGAGATAACAGATTTTCCAGCCTCCTTAGATCAGCAAAGAGTTGAAAGAGAGAGAGAGTGAGGAAGGAAGGCTATAGTTTAAAGACAAGAAGTCAAGGAAAGGAACGGTGAGAGACGGAGAGACAGAGGGAGGGAGGGAGGAAAGAGTGCACTGCAATGCAGACACCTTTTGGCGTCAGCAGTAGTGCCCGCTCTCCAGCCATGCGTGTGCTTGCAGTGTGCTCGGATCCACAGAATCGCCCCTCTTTCACGATTAAAACCACCATAAATTAGCAATTTTTCCACCCTTCGCACATCCATTAAAACGTGGTAGTGTCATGTTCAAGTGCTGAAACAATCAGCTGGGTGATCAATTAGAAACGATCAACAGTTACAACAACCTCAAGCAAAACATGCCCCAAATTTACTCGTTCCACTGGATATCTTTGAGATTCTGGACTTTTTGGTTGGACGGAGCAAGCAATAAATCATTTCCTGACACTCTTTAGCCTGTTTCTGAATATAATAAGCAGCTTAACCAACAATGTAAATGTACAGCATGTAAAAGCAGCAGCCTCATTATGTTCTTCCTTCCGCCGCTGGATGTACTTTCGACAACATACTATCACTGTACATGTACAACATCTCGAGGTGGTGTGAGCTGAGGCATGTTTGCCCTGTGCCGTCTAATGACACAGGGGCTGAACGGTGAGTAATGGGTTGCTATAGGAAACCCGTCATTAGCGGTTGTTTTTCTCTCAACAGGACAGCTCTCGGAGGGCGGTCGAACAGTAGGACTCACGGAGAAGCACGCACTAGCACAATATCATATAACACGCTTCCTCCACATGAGGGTAAGACACCGCGAAGCACACGGTAACGATCGCTGTCATGTTAGCGCTGAAACAATTAATTTAATTACCTAATCAATGCGACTGTTTGCCTCCAATCTGGACTATTGATTTAAGTGATTTATCAGGTTAAGGTACCGCACATCTACTGGCTCCAGCTTCTCAGATGTGAGTATTTGCTGCATGTAAATGCTACATTTTGGGGTATTTGGACTGTTGGTTGGTTTAAAGAAGCGATCGGAGGACATAATCTTGGGATCAGGGTAACATTGACAGCATTTGTCTCTTGTTTTAGGCTTTGAATGGATAATTAGTTTCAATATTCTTTAGTTAGAGCCGTAGATTATTTAGTCATGAACAACAGAACAGTCAGATATGTGTGAGAACATGTAAAACATATCTGCATAGTTACATTACAACCATATATGCATTTCAAATGTGAATGAGTACATTTTAAATGCATTTAAATGCACATTTGCATCCTAAACTTCTCAGTTAAACTAGTCCCAAAGTCACTGCTTAGCTCGTTCAAGTTGCTTGCTAATGCTCAAAGTCCCATCTGCAAACACTGAATTTGGGAAAACTGCTTTTACTTTTTGTGCTGCACCCTCCTGGAGCATTTTAACATTAAAACTTAATACAACTGTACATGTGGGTTAACTTAAGAGCATGATTACAAACTACTTCGCTCTTGAATCTGTTTTGCTCTTGTTCTGTTGTTTTCTTTTATTGCCCTATTTATTCTGTTTTGATTGAACATCATTAAAATGAGATAAAGCCCTCAATAATTCTCAAGATTTACATAAAGGTTTAGATGTAATGAATGTAAAATGTAAAGTGAAATCCTAATTTTTTTTTTACCAACTTCTTCACTGTCACGTGCAGGTACGTCTCCACTCACCATGTGTATGGGCGTGCTGGTCAGATCTCTCTCGTTGACCAGTCTGTCCTGGTCGGTGACGTACAGGCCCTTCTGCGCCAGGGCCTGAATGACGGCGTTGTGTCCCAGCAAAGGTTTGACAGCATCGCTGCGGAGAATCAGGCTTCCCGCCCGGCAGTAGAGCTCTGCAGACTGAAGCAGGCAGGCGACTGGAGGCTTCAGGTGCTCCTGGTTGTACTGGTCCCTGTAGAAAGGCTCGGCCAGCTCCTCTGGTACTGCATCTGGGGGCAGAAAAGGAGATGGGTTAGAAAAGTTTGTTTTATCTAAGCTCACCTCTTTTCAGAAATTTCAGTCGCCTCCATCCTCCGGCCTGTGACCTGGAAATCCATCTTGTCACGGCATTATGAGGTTACTAAAAATGCCAGCTCCTAAAATGCATCGTCAAGGACAGAGGTTTGAGAGGCGAGACACACATCTGGAATCTACAAACCATGTCAGGAGCAGGACTGACACGGGTAGGTATGTCATTCGAGGTATGTCAGAAAAGTTCCAGGACTGGTGTCACAAAAGATATATTTCAAATCCAAACTACAAGAAGTAATCCCCCTGGAGTCTAACACACTTCCTCAGCCTTCTCTGCCATGCCGCCATGCACAGATTCTTCCAGGATCCTCCGCAGCTCCGTCGTCACAGCCACGTCTTCAAAGCGGGTCTCCTTGATGACCCCCTTGAGGAAGAGGAAAAAACTCCCACAGAGCCAGGTGGGGTGAGTAGGGAGGTTGCTCCAGCACGGGGATGTTCTTCTCAGCCAGGAACTGTCGGATGCTCAGGCCATTGTGAGCAGGCGCGTGGTCACGGTGCTACAACTCTCGCCTCTTCTCGCGCACTGAACAAAGCAAACGCTGCAGGATCTCTTTGTAGACGTGATGGTTGATCTTCTGAAGGGGAAAACTCGTTGTTTGTAGTTTGGGTTTGAAATATATCTTTCGTCCTGGAACTTTTCTGACACACCTTGTATTCACAGAGCTTAACAAATTTATTAGACCACCACCCAGTGTAAGGTTTATGTCACAAGTACTGTACATATATCAATCAGAATGTAAGTCACGCTGCATTTGTATTGTACTATTTTATGTGTCACACCTCTTTTATATTTCAAAGTACACGTGTAGGTTATATAAAAAATAAAAACGTATGGCATCTAAACATTCTGCCCACATTATGCCCCACTGTGAATCAAACTGACAGTAAACATATAGCCTACAGTAGATCATCATGAACGCCCTCCGGATCATCTGACAGAGATTATAAAACAGGCCGCAACAAAACAATGGAGCAGCAGCAGATACAGCCGCGCCACAAATCGTCTGTAACTGATGTGGCTTTGGCTCCCGAGCATGGAGTTCTCCTTTTTGTTAAATCACCGCTGCCTCGACTGCTCTCACCTCGCATCGCTTTCTCACCTCCTCCACTGACATCTCAGGTGGGAGGACTAAGGTGCAAAGAGAAGAGTCGAGGATGTAAAAAGTGAGAAGTGAGAAAGTGGGTATATTCTACTGTCTTCCTCAGAGCTTTGTCTTCATGGCTACTAGGTGTTTGTTTTGTTTTTAAGGTTCCATAGTAATTATTAGTAGCGGTAAGGAGATTGACAAACGATGTGAAAATCTTGCTGTCAAAATTCTGAATACCACAAAGTCCAGCATGACAAGTAAATAAAATGATGTGGTTTAATATTGTTTTATATGTGGTACAGTAAAGGAGAACTTTTTAACATCTGTGTTTAGAGGCTGTTACTTGTGGAATGTGACCAATCAGATCGTACTGCGGGCGGGACATTGCTTCAGATCGAAGTGGTGACAACAGATAGCGAGAGGCAGCTGCATCAGAGCCACAGTAGCACATTCTTAAATAATTCATTCAGTCGTAATTCAGGGGGGAAGACACTGATAACCAGAGACAGCCAGGCTATTAATCAATTGACCCTTAATGGCTTCATCCAGCTTGTTGCACTTGTTGTCGTCGAGACCGAGGGGTGTTGTTTATACCCCTACTACTGCTGCTTATCTCACCGTACATCCAGACTGTCTTGCGAGCACAGAGCGGCGGTGTTTGTGCGCCAAGTACACCGGAGCCTGTAGTGTATGTTACAAAGCACGAAGCACCTTCTAATCCTGTTACCTCATCCAGTAAATCTGATTTGAAGGAAATAGCTGAGCAGACACAGACACGCGCTTGTGTTTCTGTCACCTCAAAGGACATTTAAGTTGATTCCAGACGTACCTGAACCGTAACTACAAATACTACCAGCCTAACCAAAACCTAACCTTCTAAAATTTACTGAGATTTATATTATGGGGATTTGCTTTTTGCCCCCACAAGGGAGTTGAATCCCCACAATGTGACTGCACAAACAGGTTTATGTCCCAAAAACACGACTAACACAAACACACAGCTACACTTCCACTGTTCTTTATGTCTTTTTTTTATGTTGTTGTTAACCACATGTTGTGACTCAAAGTGAGACTAATCCATTACCGAATGACATACATACTGTATGTATGAGCTTCTAACCCATGTGCATCACTTTCAGACGAGACCCTTGTAAAAGAATGTGTGTGTGTGTGTGCGGTGACACACTTCTACGAAGCTGCCTGCTCCGGTGTGAGCGTGTATTCCTGGTGTGTAGGGTCATTTCCTCTCTGCCTGCCTCTGAATCACACTGAGGAAAACAAAGAACACTAAAGGAATTCATCCTTAAAGGTACAGCCTTTAAACTAAGAACACTGGAAGCAAGAAAAAAAAAGAAAAAGCTCATCTAAACAACATAATAAATCAAACATGTAAAGTTCAATCCATTAAAGAGAAAAAATCCATTAAGCTTGTGATCAAACCTCGGCAGTGTTCCAGTGACTGTGGTTAGGGCAGCCTTCCCATGCCCCGACGGAGGGTGATGAAAAGAGATATTTAAAGCAACAGGCAGATGTTAAACCACTTCATAATAAGGCCTCCTGCATCGAGTCGCAACTTTCAAATCGATCCAACTGTCAGAGCGTCTACAAAGCTGATTACCGGAGCGGAGCTTTCATGATGTTTGCCTTCGAGCATACAAATTTGTTAACCGAAGCGACTCACAAGATAATGACGCTTTTATTTAAATGTTCAATTACAGTGCAAATATTCTTTTTAACAGTCACAAACTTGCATACATTTAGTTCTCATGCAAAATAATCACTAAAACAGCAAGCTACAGCTGACCACAATAGCGCAGAAAGCTTTTTGCAGAGTTCATGAAAATCTGCCATGTCAAGTAAAAAAAAAAAAAAAAAACCCTCTCCTTTGTGTTGGCCATCAAAGAGGAAACTGACAGGAAGTAGCTGCCACAGGAAGCCCAGGCATGGAGAAGACTGCTCCCCCTGGAGACCCCTGGATCACAGCTCAGCACACACAACCTAACAGTCAGCTTATCTCTGCCGCCTCTTTGTTCCAAATTAAATCATTTCAGTTCATAACGTGAGCTGCCGATTGAAAATTAAAGTTCTAACAGAGCGATGACGGCACAAATGAATCAGCTTTTGCTTAGATGATCTCAGTGTTGGTGCAGATTACTATCAGATGAATCACTAGTTCTGGTAGGACTGATTTTTTTTTTTTTTGGCTACATGGGTGCAGCAGAAACAAGCTGTCAACACAACACTGACAACATTTTAGGAAACTATTTGCAACACTTGCAGCCGTGCATTTGGAGTTGTGTTTCTGGTGATTATAAGTTAAGCATTTACTGTCATTGCAGCTCTGTCTATGCTCTCCACTCATTCCTATATATATGTTTTTGTTGCTAAACGCTCCGCTATGTTCAGCAGTAAGTCTCCAATTGTGTCAGTCCGCTGTTTGGTGCTGAGCAGATAGCGTGCGGTTGGTAATTTTTACAGCTTTTCCACTGAAAACAGCCCGACTCCTGCAGCCAAAAACACTACTTCTACTCAGAGCGGTGAACCAAGGCAGTAAAGTAGCGGGCTGGAAATTTCTTTATGTAATGTCATCAGTGATACAGACAGAGCTGATGAATTGCACTTTTTTAGCCTTCTGCTGATTGAGCCGAATGAAAAGTTGATGATGACGGTGACCCGCGGCGACACTGCCCACGATTTGGCCGAGTCCGGTCGACATCACGGAGACGTCTGGGCTGATAAACCCACCTCTGAATGACAGTTCGGATCACCGTGTGACAAGCCAGTGGCACGCCGGGATTTATAAGAGTGTCGGCTGAGTGCTGTCAAGACTGAATAAATAACTGGTACCACATTATGTCAACAATCTGACCCATCCTTTTAACTTTTAATGGCGCCACTTGCAGTTCGTCATTTCAAGTGTCAAATATCATTTTCAAGTTTTACATCTGATTGCTGATGAGTGCAGCTAGACTGAACCACTTAAACAGACCAGCGACAACCACGCACACGAGCCTCTTGACAGCAAAAACCAGTGTGCTGCTCCGACAGTATTTCTAAGCAATATTTGAATATATTATGCGATCAATAGTACTCTCGCCTAGCCAGCCCTTTTGGTAGAAGATAATGAGGTGGCTGCACTTCATTATCATCTTCTATACATGAAAAAATGATTTTGTATTTCTTTAAACCAATCACAGTTGCCGTGGGCAGAGCAACGCAAAAAACCTTCAAGCTTTAGGCCTTGTTTACACATAGCCGGGTATTTACAAAAACGGAGCTGCTATGAGCACGCCAAACCTATAGGGGGCAGTGTGATGAGAAGCATTAAGCCATGCCAGCCAATCAGAATCCTGGAAAAAACACAACAACAAATGGCACGAATGATTTCCTGTTACTTCAACGATACGAGGGTCGTTTGTCTGAACCGACAGAAAAGTGGAGCTATTCCTAAATGTGGTGTTAGAGTACAAAACAAGTAAAACAGACGAACAGGCTAACGCATTTGCACAAACGTAAAAACAAGCACTGCTTTAACAGCAGCCATTTCTATCACAGTAGCCAAATTGTAAACATGGGTCGCCCGCATATGACGCTGGTGATGCTTTTGTCGCGTACCATGACATCAAACTCCGTCTCCTCCTGCCTACATGCAAACGTAAAGACAGAGTTTTTCCAAATCTCCAATTTGGCTGGAGTTTTGTAGAATTGTTTTGATGTAACATTTGCATACAGGAAGAAGAGCACTGTCATTAAAAAGAATGATCCACTGAAGCAAACCAGCATCTCTCTGCTTTACAGCAAAGATTGTCCAAATCTTCGACAAAACTCGCCATACACAGTGTGGTGGGGTGCTAGCATGGAGGTTGTTGTTGTTTTCTGCAGTGAAGTGAATTTTAAAAGCAGGCAGAAAGCGGAAGAAGATTAGAAAGTCAGCTGACAGGAGCAGCTAGAGGCAGGATTAAAGCCACAGTCTACATTTAGTAAGTCAGACTAGTTTAGGTCCAGGTGCTGTTGAAATCTAAGCTGATCCTCTATGCCAGGGGTGTCCAATCCTGGTCCTCGAGGGCCACAATCCTGCATGTTTTAGATGTTTCCCTCTTCCAACACACCTGATTGAAATGATCAGCTCATCATCAAGCTCTGCAGAAGCCTGATAACGATCCTGATCATTTGAATCAGGTGTGTTGGAAGAGGGAAACATCTAAAACATGCAGGATTGCGACCCTCAAGGACCAGGATTCGACACCTGTGCTCTATGCTTTTAAAGTTTACATCAGGGGTGTCCAATCCTGGTCCCCGAGGGCCACAATCCTGCATGTTTTAGATGTTTCCTTCTTCCAACACACCTGATTGAAATGATCAGGATCGTTATCAGGCTTCTGCAGAGCTTGATGATGAGCTGATCATTTGAATCAGGTGTGTTGGAAGAAGGAAACATCTAAAACATGCAGGATTGTGACCCTCGAGGACCAGGATTGGGCACCCCTGGTTTACATGATGCCAATATGGAGATACAGCAGATGTAAAGTGTGAAAATAGCAAATCTTTTTTTTTTTTTTCCCCAGCAAATGGCCACGGGCTGGATCCGAACCCACAGGGACTACAGCTCCAGTACATGGGTCACCAGCTCAACCAGTTGAGCTATAGCGGCGGCCCAGAAATAGCAAATCTAACATCCAACATTTAATACACAACTACTTACAAACTCCCTCTACATCTTTAAAAAGCACAACTCCTGGGAGCTGCACCCTTTATCCTACTTCTTTTATAATCTCTTTCTTGCCTCATTCATTGTAAATCATTGTGCAACTTTTGTTTTGAAAACTTTTCACTGTACGGCAGCACAGACGATTGCAAATCCATCTCTCTGAAGTTTCAGCACAAAGAGGGGGAAAGTTGCTACTGTACGTCCAAGCATCATCAGACTCAAACCATAGCTCATCGGTCCTATCTAGGCCAAACAAGACTCTGAGGACTGGTTATGAATTGGGCCACAGTTCTCGGCGGCGCTGGGAGCTGAAAGTGTGTCACTGAAGGGACAGGGAAAAAACCAGGCGGCGGCGGCAGCGGCAGCATGCTGACAGCCGCGGGTCTTGTACAACTGTGCCTGGTGCTCTCACATGTTGCTGTGCTGCATGTTTGGCCACATTTCATTCTGTCTGAGGTCGAGCTCCGTTTGGCACACGCTCTCCGATCAATGGACGTGAATCAGAGGGCTGCCTTTTCATCCCTCGCTCTTTCTAGGTTCATCTGTCTGCCTGGTGTCCACTCAGAGGCTGAGAGAACTGGAGGCGCTGCTGTTAAAAGCTTTCATTAGGAGTGAGGGCTCAGAAAAAAGGGCTGGAATTACTCAGTCTTTTTGAGGCCGGAGCTGCTTGCAGGGCACACAGGAGGCATGCCAGGGCCGAGGTACTCACATACAGTCACGTATAAAGAAATAACACATGAAAACATCTGCACTATTACTGTCAAGAAACATCACAATCGGCTGCTTTAAAGCTGTTTTACTGCACTTAGAGAGAATAACTTCAGTAGAGGTGAAATGCTTAGCAACTGGCTGATCAACAGAAACTTAACTGACAACAACTCTTTAAGAAAAATTACATATTTTTCTTATTTTAAGAACCGAATATATTCAAGTTTCAGATAAAATAAGCACCTTTAAGAGGCTACATCAAGCTCCTGTGAATCCGTAAAAGCCGTTATGAGCTATTTTATACACTTTAAAAGATTTATCAGTAATTATCGAACAAATGTGCCGAACAGTTCCTGTTTTGGCCAAATAAAGCAAATCTAAATATCACTTTGAGGTAAAGGAAAGCTTCATATTCGCAATTCAACACTTTGATTGGATATTTTAGAACATTTGGGTAAATTAGATTCCCTTTTGTGTAGATTAATAAGTGCACTTCTTGACTTATGGTGCCTTTAAAGCGAGTCTATCTGAACTCTTGTCTTCGATTATGACATTTTGTGCTTTATTATGAGTGTATTGTGTTTCCAAACCTTCTTGCCTCAAATAGCCCCTTGGGAGACACATGAAGTACTGTGAACTGAATTTTCTGACATTTTACACACCGAACCACGGACTAAAGTTAGCTACAGTCCTAAACTCAAGCTGCTGGATCGAAGTTAATCCTTTTGATGAGCCATCAGACTGTAAAGATCTGCAGTCTGAGTGTTACGTAATGATCGGTCGGACGTGTGCTTGTGGAGAATAATTAGCAGGAGGCAAGCAAAAGGTTAAAGCAATGACCCTGTAGCAGGATGTGGTGACCTCTGACCTCTAGACAAACAGCCTCATGTCAGCCACATGTCATGATAAAGCCTTAAATTATCTGTTTTTAGTGACCAGTGCTGTCTTGTCTTCCATTCCCAAACACAGAATGCTACCAGGGCCTATTTCTATTTATAATAACAGAGGAGGAACATCAGTGTTTAATTATCTGCACACAGTGAGAATCTGATTACAGGACTTTGTTTTCATTTTGGTCCAACACAACATCAGGCCACATTATTCCACACGCTGGCTTCTCCACTAAATGAGAAAAAAAGAGAAAAAAAACAAGGAGGCGCCACCTACCCGAGCCGAAAGCCTTGGCCACCAGCCACGTCAGGCTGCAGGAGATCTTGGCCCTGGTGAAGTCGTAGTGATCGAAGCTCTTGATGGCAGGGACGATGAAGGTGCGTCTCATCCCTCTGTCATCTGCCGCATCTCCCATCGTTCCTCTCTCTCTCTCTCTGGTTCTCTGTGTGTGTGCTCACCGCTGGAGGATCAGTCAGCCGGAGGAGTTGCTCCCGACTGCGGATGACATCCCGTCCAGAGGAATTCAATGCAGCAAATTTTCCCCCTTCTCTCCTTAAAAAAAAAAAAAAAAAAAAACTTTACGCGTGGCCTGATGTTGGAGAGCAGTTGGAAACCAAAGGGCGCCCCTCGGTTACACCATCCTCAGTTTTATGTCCTTCTGTTTAAGTAGAAAAAATAAAAAATAAAAAGCCTTAAAGCCTGACAGCACGGCGCAGTTTAGTGGCAGGATTTCTGAAGATTTCCTCCATTCCCTGACAGTGTTATTATCCACAGGCTGAAGCGCAGGAGGAGGAGGAGGAGGAGAGGAGCTACAGTCCAACACCGGAGGACAGTTTCTCAGACGAGCCGAGCGCACTGTTTGTGTCCATGTTGTTCTCGTTTTTCGCCTCTGTTTTTCCCTCTCTCTCCCGCTATCTCCGCCGTGTCTCCTCTGCGCTTTTCCTGCCGCACTGGTCGGAGGATGGGCCGCAGTGCGCAGGCGCGATCCACCCACCCAGTCTGCTGGATCCTGACAGGAGCCGCCACAAGCCGAGGTGGAGTTCACTGACTAACTCCCAGATGTTGTTTCCATGGAGAAATACACGGCAAAAAAAAAAAAAACACTCACACGGGGGTGTTGTGGTAACACTGTCACTGGCAAATTTAATGTACAGTTTATTAAAAGTTCACTGAAGTTTTAGGTGATTTAAAGCCATAATGAGGTGATTTAGGTTACAGGTTACATCATTTCTAACTTTAGTGTAACTCTCCCACACAAAAAGACATTTGATTCAACTATTAGACCAATTCTAGAAACACTGTTTTCAAAAAAAGAGAGAAAAGTTTCCTTAACAGCTTTTTTTCCCCCGACTGTTTACTGTTATTTTACAGACTTTACCTATTCTGGTAAGTTAGAGATGATCTCTTGTAAATTCACAAAAATAATGAAAATCACTTACATGTTAACCTAAACAAAAACAGGCCATAACTGTAAAATAGAAAAAAGAAAATGGCAGCATTTAGAATCTGTATTTTTGTAAGTGGCAATTTGTTATTTTACAATGTTCAACTGCACAATTATACAATCTGTATGTAAATCAGCAAAAAAATATTATTGTTCTACTGATATTTGCCATTATTAATTTTTTTTATCAAGAGTTGAAAAATAGTAAATCATATTTTTAGCTGTTATTTTGCAGATTTTCTGTATGTTTTTAAGTTAAAGACAATATCTAGTAAAATCGCAGACAAGAATGTAGAAAATGTCCATGTCAGAAATTTATATTTTGTTATTTTACAATGTGTTTCTGTGAAATTAAACGGTTTAACTGTATTTATATCAGCTAAAAAATATATTATTTTACAGATATTTCCCAATTATTGTCACTGTTTTTCAATATTACATTATTTAATAGGTTTTTTTTTTGTCTGTGTGGATTTTTCTGTCACTCAGATTTTTTTTGATTTTTTTTGATTTTTCTTTCTTTCTTTTTTTATTTTTTTTTACACTGTGCATAACGTCACTGTCTTTTAAAACAACCTAAAGTTAGAGAATAATTTTAGGCTTTCTATTATAAGGATTCCGTAAAAACAACAACCAGCAAAGAAAAAAAAAATAATAGAAAAATGCCAAAGGTGCCAAAAGTATTTGTATTTAAGAGTTTTATACCACTGAACTTCAGACGCTGTGTTTTATAATCCACGACTGCAACACTTCCGTTATTTGAGATCAACTTTTGTCTATAAAATATTGGTGCTGCAATTATTCAACCAGCAGGAAATTAGCAAAAAAAAAAACCAACAACAAAAAAAACTATGATAACTGTTAATCCTTCTGCAAAAAATGCCCCAGCCTCTCAGATGTCTAAAAGATGTCCTGCAAAATGATAACATGCACATGCTAAAATAGTCCTGCTCTGACATATAATTGAGTTTAGGCTGAATTAGGTCAAGTACACTCACTTGCACCAACTCGAACACCCAGTAAAGGAGACAGTGTGAAGTGCTGTACAGACAAAAGAACGAGCAAGCATGATATACGGTAGCACCACCTTGTTGTGACAGTCTGAAATATGTATGAAATATATATGAAATATATCGGGATGGTACTAGGAACATGCTTCATTGTTTTTGCCTTACAGAATGACACTGAGGCTTTTCTTCTAGTGTGACATGATAGTAAAGTATTGTCGCCTTATTAAGACACAGATAAAACCTGGTCATTCACACCATGTATTCTTCAGAAAGTATTCAGAGCCCTTTATGTTTTACATACTTTATAGTCTTGTAAATTTATTGTTAAATTGATAAAATCGCTATTTTCCCCTATCAATCTGCACTCAGGAACTTATAATGACAAAGACTGAAATGTCTAGTTTACAAAAGTCTTCAGACCCTTTATTCAGGACTGTGTGGAAGCCTCTTTGGCAGCCACTGCAGCTTCTAGTCATCCTGGTTAAGTCTTTACAAGCTTTGCAAACCTGGATTTGAGAAGTTTATCCCATTCTTCTTGGCAGATCCTCTCAATCTTTCTCAGATTGGATGTGTGTCTGTGACCTGCTGTCTTCAGATCTCTCAACGGATGTTCTGTGGGATTTAAGTCTGGGCTTTTGCTGCGCCACTCGACGACAGTCAGAGAAATGTTGTGATAGTCTTTGGAGAATGCTCTCCTCAAGCACCTCTCTGTATTTGAATGGATTCATTTTTTTCCTGAGGAGTCCCCCCTGTCCCTTACAAATTCCCTTTAGCATGAAGCTGCCACCCCCATGCCTCACCATAGGGACGATATTACGATAAGCAGTGCCTGATCTTGAATTGGAGTTCTGCCCAAATAGTTCAGTTTGTGACACTTCAGATCAGAGTCCTTTAAATGCAGTTTAACAAGAAAAACAAGTGAGCTGTCATGTGCCTTCCACTCAGAGTGGCTTCCATCCAGCTGCCATAAAGGCCTAATTGATGGAGTGCTGCTGAGATGGCAGCCTCTTTTAGAGGTTCTCTCCTCTGTGCAAAGGACTTCAAAAGCTTTGTTACAGTGAATGCTGGGTTCTTGGTCTCCTCCTTGTCCAAGGACCTACTTGCTCAGTCACTTAGTTTAGTTAGAGTACCAGCTCAAAAAGAGTCTTGATGGTTCCAAATTTCTTCTATTTTACACTTATTGAAGCCACTATGCACCTTTTGCTCTGATCTATGTCTCACCACAGTTGTATCATAGTGGTGTACAGAAAGTCCCTTTGACTTCAGGGTTTGTTTGTTTTTTGTCCCGACATACAGCGTACATTGTGGGACTTTTATATACCCAGGTGCCCAGTCCATTCAGTTTGCAACACATGGACTCCAATAAATGTTCTGGACACATGTCGAGGATTATTAAATCAAACAGGAAGCATCTTACCACATTCTGAGACAGCAAAGAGTCTGAATAGGTGTATAAATAAAGGATTTCACTTTTAGACTTTTTAATACATTTGCAAACAATGCTTTCACTTTCTGGGTTATTGTATGTGCACTGATGGGATTCAAATGTAATAAAAGTGTGCAAAAAGTGAACTACATACTGGAGGTACAAGGCTTATATAGCACATTTATTGAAGGGTAGGGCCTGTTAAGATCATAAAACACTTTGTAGGTCACCTTAATAGTGTCGTACTTTCAGCAATCAAGTAGTTTCATACTTTTAATGCAAATTTGATTACAAATTGTTTATTTGTAATGGATTACTTCCCATTATTGATGTTGCTAGTATGCAATTATTCTTTCACCCCCAACTGTAGGTCGCATCAGTTACAGACAAAAACAGGAGCAATAAAGTACATCCAGAGAGACAAATCAGCAGTAATCCATTGACAGTCATAACTTTCTCATACATAGAGATGGGACGAACGCAGATTCTTACAGCACCATCCAAGACGTGTTCACACAGTGCATCAGAAAACCTTCCACAAGAAAAAACACAACAACAACAAAATATCAGCAAAAATTAAAAAACACTCGCAGTAAACATGTAAACAAAATTGGTAAGAAACTAAGTGTGTTTAAAGAAGACACTGGAGAGGTTCATCCCATCTCCTCAGGTGGTTTGTTTCGCTGCTTGTCCTCGTTTTTTTTATTTTTTTGGTCAGAACTATTAAAAGCAGCTCATCTGAGAACCTCACGGTGCTGTTTGGCTTCGTGGGAAGATCCTAGTTTAGCATGAACTGGAGCTGATCAGTAAACAGCTTAAATATTTAAAAAGGAATGTGAAAGAAAGGTATCTCTGAGATGGAAAAAGTGGCATGTTTCCAAATGAGGTGATAGAAAAGCTGAAGATGTAAAAGATCATATTTTGGAGATCATTTCAATCCCTAGAAACTTGATCCGACCACCAAAACGGATACTGTTGTGCCAGACTGTTAAAACCGGAATACCCTGATATGGCCACTGGATAATAATTAAAACTTTACCTCAAATAGCAGGACAGTAATGCCATCAGATCTTACTACAAATCAGAAGATCTGTCCGGGGCAATAAGTACCGTGTGACAGTGTTGCTCTCTCGTGCCCACAGAGGGTTCATACAGCTGAAGAGGTCAGGAAGTTTATACCACCGATCAGTCAGTAGATGGCAGTCCTCCGCCAAAAATACTGCAAAACAGCTCTGTTCTGCTCAAAACATCTTGATTTCACAGTGTCTTTTCAAGACATTTACATGGTCCTTAATCGCTCTTTTGACAGTTTCATTGAATGTGAATTATTCTCATTGGTAGGTTTAAATACAGCGAAACAATCCGTTCTTACAGCGTTTACATTTTAGTGTTCAGAAAACATGAGAATTTCTTTCATTTTCTACACATGCATTGATCCTAAGTTGTTCCTATGTTCATCTTTTAACTTATTGCTCCTCCCCTTTGTAGATTGAATCAGCTCTGTCTGCGCTTCCACCGAAATCCACAGTCATCTGAGAGTCGTTACCGATCATAATGTACTGAGCATTTTCGATATGAATGTTTTGTGGCAGGCACCGAACCTTGCCATCACCTCCCTCCGGTTTGAAAAGGGTCAAGGCGTCTTCTTCCTGCAACTGTCTCCTCTCCATCTGAGCTTTCCGTCTCTGCTCCTCCGTCCAGATTCGTCTCTGCTTTTCGATTTTTGCTGGAGACAATGACTTTAGCACTTTTCTCTCAAAGCTCTTGTTCTCCTCGAGTGGAACTATTGAGTTCAAAACCAGAGGGATGCTCTGTCTGGGCATGCAGTTCTTCTGCGGCAGCAGAGGGATCACAGTGTTGTACTTGTGTTTGTTGTTTATGGAGTTGATAAGGGCAGAGTTTGCCTTTATCTCCAGCATGCGAGTGTTGAAGTTGCGGGTGAGCAGCAGGAAGGTGAAGGCTGAGTTGTTGATGGCATCCTCCACACACCTCAGAGTGCTCTTTCCAGGGATGGCAAAGTCCTCAGAGAAAGTTGCACCTTCACGAGCTGTGACTTTTTCCAGTTTGTCCCTCATGCACTCGGCCATATCTGCATCCTCTGGTGCATGCAAGATAACAAATGAGTAAAACACTTCTTCCTCTTCCTCCTCCTCCTCCTCTGCACCTTTGCTTTCAAGTATTTCTTTTGGCGTCGTACAACTGTTTGTTGCAGAAGGTAGGGAAACTTTTCCTTCACTGCTTGGTTTGTTTGTTTGACTTGGAGTTACAATCTGACTGTCCAGCTTACTGCTCATGTCTGTTAATGTTTCACTCATCCTCGAGTCTTTCTTTGCTCCTAACAGAGGAGATCCGCTGGATTTGGACCGAGGCTCAGATGACAAAGATTGCCCAGGTGCAATTTTTGTTTCACCACAAAGGAAGGCGGGAGTGTTTAGTTTGGCATTTCCTGATGTTTCTGGAGCCATTTTGTCACCTCGAAACGAGACCGTTGGAGGAATGCTTATCTCTAGATGTGACGGGTATGAGGGCACGGAGGGGCACGCCTGCAGAGGGCTGGGAAAACAGCGTGTGGTTGCAGACCGATCCTGGGACATAGTAGCTTGTAGGGTTGTATTTCCTTCATCCGGGCTTCTGTTAGGGCCGGGGTAGGACTCTGACTTTGCTTCAGTGGAGGAGCTCATCCACTCTGCAACCTGAGGCCCACAGACAGCTTTAGCTTCCTCTCTGAATTCGTCATAGTGTAAATCATCACCACCACCGCGTGTGTTTTGGCAGTCACTGGAAATGGCTCTTTTATATGCCAGATTTCTTACATGTGGATCGCACAACCTCTGCTCTGATAAAATTTTAAAAATCCGAGCCAGCGCTGCCAAAGATTCTCCCGTCGAGGCTCGAAAATGACCACACTGAACTGCAAAATCTTCTAATTTGCCTCCGCTCGTCTGCCATTTTTCAGCCAGATGGTTAGCGAGGGAGTTGTCCCCCAGCATCTGGAGTTTGTTCAGGGCCTGCGTCTCTCTCTGGAGAACGATCAGACACAAGGCTTGTATTATGCCGTATTCAGGAGTCTCACCCAGCTGGAGAGTCAGGCTCAGCAGTCGCTGCGAAGGTGCCTTAAGCAGAATGTCAAAGACGTCTCCCAGGCCCGTCCCTTGATTTTCCTGTCCCTCGTGACTCATTTTCAGTTTTACTCGATGAACAACATCCAGCGTTTAACCCAAGCCGATGGGCTCACACCCGATTTTCCAACGTAATCTTCAGAAGCTGCTGAAGGGAGAGGCGCTCGATTTCCTGGCCATTCTTGTTTCTTTAAGCAGATGTAAAAAAATACACAAAGTCAACATGTATGCTCACGACATGATGTTTGTACTTTACGTGCATGTTGAACAGCAGCTGATTGGTTTGTATCAGCAAAGCAATAACACAATTTCAATGATCAACCTTTTTATTGTGCCATTCTTCCATAAATAAACCCTTGAGCTGACTTTCTAAAGGGTTGAGAAACTCCAGATCTAGATAATAATTAGTCACCGGCATAGTGTTACAGAAGCCATAACTGTTCATTTAGTGTGTGTGTGTGTTATCAGCTCAAACAAGGAAGTCACTCAGAATGCCTCAATTCAATCGGCAGAAAACTCTCGTCTCTCAACCGGAAGCACTGACTTCACATTTCACGCTGACCTTTGGAGAAAACCACTGTTTCCGGTGAGTCTTGAGAAACTTTTGAAGTGAAGTTTACCGTACCTGTTGCAGTTGTAGGCCTCTGACAGCTTGAAGCAATCTTTGCACAACATAGTGATGATGTCACAGGTTGTGAAGTACGGCAGCTCAGGAGGTACAAGAGACAAAAAAAAAGCAGGAAGAGGTTTTCATCGCAACCAGGAGCATAGGTTTCCACATGTTGTACCTTCCTTAGCCCAAACATTCCTCTCTAGACCACCAACTTTGTGACTTTGTGGGATGCTTAAATTTCTCACAACATTAAAAAAAAAAAAAAGAAGGACTTTTTGTGTGGAAGCATGGAAGTCTTTAACTCCTCGAGCACAATAGGCGCACAAGAGGGAAGAATTCTGGCTTTTCTCCCTCTCTGCTGAGAGGCAAGTGTATTTTTATCCACAGAGGAAACCTCCAACCCTGTATTTACCAGGGGTGGGGTCACACCAGGCAGAGTGCAGGCCAACATCAAATCCCTCAATGCAGCGCAGACAGAGAGCCTCTGTGTTCGGAGTGCCGAGTGCAGTGTGATATGTTTACTGTACGACCACTTCTGAAGGATTACTGTAACTCTATAGGAAATGTGGTTTCTGTGCCTTCCTTATATATGACTATTGTAAGACTGGCATGTAGGGCATAAAGTTTCACCGTTGGGCTGAGCTATATAACACATGCCAGCCAGACCGCAGCTCTGTTGTTTTAAGCAGAAACCCCATCTATAGCTGACAGCACAACCAAGGGACTGTTTGAAAATGATTAGATTGCGATTGGGTGGCCTTTCATATTTTTATTATCGATACGATTTCTTTTTTAAAAAAATATCTTATGCACCTGGAGGGAAGGGTTTGAAACATTTTACTAAATCCAGTAACTCTGAACTCTTTCAAATCCCTGGTCAAATTATTTTAGGTTTGTTTGGGGGGGAATAACGACAGCTTTTTCAATTTTTTTAAAGCATTTCAAACAGTATTGTATCTAAACCAGAGATCCCAGAGTGTTCACCTCTCACCCCATATCTTGTCACTGCTCCGTGACATTCATTAGCCCTGACTTATTTTTTTTCTCTTTGCTGCTGGCTCTTTCTACTTTATCATTCAAAAGATATCAACTGAGTGAATTGTAATTGAATTGCAGATTTGTTATTTTCGCCCCCCCCTCCCGCATGCACACTGCACTTAATGCTACCTGAAGGCAAAACGGCTTGTTGCACTTTTACAGGTCACAGAATCTGATGGGTCACAGAATAATGTGTAACACCAGCGGTCAGGTGGAGGTGCAGCATCATCAAAAATGCCCTCAAGTTCTTCCTTTCTAACCAGAGGGGGAGTAGATAAATATTTCATTTGTCCTTCCACCCTTTGTTGTGTTCCTGAAAACACGGCATTTGGTAATTGCTTAGCTGGCTTTGGTAAAGTGTATACGCATTTGTTTTTTGGCAAGTGGAGTTTATTAAAAAAGGATTTCAAGATGCAGGGCATGAAAACACAGTTTATCTTTTCTAATCTAGGAAAACCAAAGCAACAACAACAGGTGGTACCCGATATCATCATGCACACACACATACACACAAAAACTATTAACACACCATCCCTTCCTGACTCTCTTTCTACTAGTATATGACAAACAGGGTTGTGATGGAAAATAGAAATAACAAAAGGTGAAAAGCAACGATGGACTGTCGACTTCAAGTGGAATACCCGCTATGAGTTGTTCTTCCAGGGCTGACACGGCGCCGATCTGTAGCTATGCGAGACTATTTCTTAGGTAACAGACGAGGCGCAGCCAGATCTTATTGATTTGCGACTCTCTATTCTTTTTCAGGTAAAGTGCGTACATCCACACGTTCACTCAATCAGTCTCGTTAACGGCTGTGCAGCCGAGCTTGCATGCATTTGGATACATTATGAGTTTTTTTTTTTTGCAGGTGCCAGTAAGACACAAAAGAGAGATCATGAATGAAAGATCAAATGAGGGATTTGTTGGTCACAGAGCTTAATGCAACTGCGATGCAACCTGAAACTGGAGGCATCTTTTATATCCCGCCCCTGTATATGACAGAGATGGGTCTTATATATTCGCATATATAGATAAGTATATGGGTGAGAAGAACATTGTAGTTTGGAATATTTATATTTTGTGCTGACATTTTCAGATTCGGGCTGCAAGGTGGTGCAGTTGGTAGCACTGTTGCCTCGCAGCAAGAAGGATGCCGGTTCGCGTCCCGGTGGGGGCACCGGAATCTTTCTGCGTGGAGTTTGCATGTTCTCCCCGTGCAGCGTGGGTTCTCTCCGGGTTCTCCGGCTTCCTCCCACACAGTCCAAAAACATGTTGAGGTTAATTGGTGATTCTAAATTGTCCGTTGGTGTGAATGTGAGTGTGCTTGGTTGTCTGTCTCTAAGTGTGGCCCTGTGATAGACTGGCGACCTGTCCAGGGTGTCCCCTGCCTTCGCCCTAAGTCAGCTGGGATAGGCTCCAGCCCCCTGCGACCCTAGTGAGGATTAAGCGGTGTATAGATAATGGATGGATTTCTAATATCCATATTATTTTCACACGCTGAGGTTCTAATTGAGGTACTTTATTGATAAAATTTGTGTAACGTGAATATGGTTCATCTTGTTTTTTTTAATACTCAAGAGAAGAGGGTCAGAGTTTTTGTTTTGTTTTGTTTTTTTAAATAACGCTCAACTCAGGCCCTCTCCCCCACCCCGCTGATTTTCACACGGTCCCTAAGTAGCCATGATATGCACACACACAGTACTTTTTCTTATAAACGCTCTCACACCATAAATGCCCTTGCATACCTCCTTCACTCACACATGCTAACAGTTTGCACACAAGTTCTGTCCCAAACACTGAAACACACACACAAAAAGACAACACCCACACAGCCTCGGGATCATCCTCAGTCCGTTACGTAACACGCTGCCAAACGTCCATCTTTATTGAGGACAATTCTTTTAACGAGAGACACGCTCTCCCAGCAGCTGTGTTAGTCAGCCTGGCGGTAAATCTGCTTTCACCTTCCAGCAAAACATATAGTGAGAGGCTGTGTCAGGTCTGCGAATAGCGGCATTGCACAGCTTCTGTAACGGTGTTTTGAGCAAATATGTTCTGACCTCTGCTTGTTTTTTTTTTTTGTTTTTTTTCTTTCCCTGAAATATTACATTGTTTGAACACAAACACATGCAACTTTCCCTTGGTATGGTTTATCACTATGAGCAAAAATGCACAGATGTGTGTGTCTTGTGCGTTTGTGTGTGCAGTTTCTGGCCGTGGGAGAAAGCCCTGAGGGAGACACAGAGGGGTCACATATAAGAGGCTTTAGGGCAGACAAGTGAAAAGGAGGCCCTTTCTTGGACAGAGACTAAGGATTAGGATGAAAGACATATGAGTGGGGGATGCACTCGCTTTTTTTATCTGTCTCATCCACTTGCTGCATCTCTCTCACACGTTCTGCATCGAGTCTATTCAAAATGTGCAGGAAATAGAAGGAGATACAAAGAAGAGCACAGAAGAAGATGCAGAGAGAGAGAGAATGAAGGATGCAAAGCCAGATAGATAAGATAGTGAGATAGGAGCAGAGCAAAAAGACAAAGTGAGACCTTGACAGATCGATAGGCTCTTTAGAATTCAGTTTTGTGAGAGGCCGAGAGAGGCCATGCAAGGCACTGCTCTTTTCCCAGCCACTTGATTCGTCACACATGCTAAGAGAATTTAACACACTCGCTTCTGGCGGGCAAATATACGCTCCACACACATGTACATGTGAAGACATACACAGATACGAGACCGTGCACTCATTCAATCAAGCGTCCCCACCCACAGTTTGGCCTCTATTGAAACACTGAAAGAAACACCTGCACTATAGGCGCTGCGGCTCTCTGCAGAGAAAGTTTTCGCATTTTTCTTCATCCTCCACAGTTTTGTTGAGAAAACACAGCTTTAAAAGCCTACACAACGGTGTATTTTGTTCGGATGTCATGTGTGCTGTAGGTAGCCCGCATACATTCGTGCATGTGCTGTGTATCAAAGCAAAAATAACCCAAACTATCACATACTGAGGCTAGTTTGTGTTGTTGACAAAGCGGGCCAACAGATCTAAGTTAATGTGACAGTTAACTAGCATTAATTCAGGAGCAAAAGTAAATGAAGCGGGCCTGCGGACACGACAGGGGAGTGCAGTGGGGATGGGAAGACGTGTGTACTGTACCACACAGGACCATGCTTGGGTGAGCATGTAGGCCATGCCAACAACAATGCATAATACAGCCTCTGGTGATGGGGGATGGATATGAACACACAACACTTCCACCTCACCTCACACACACACGCATAGACATCCACTTGTACAAACACACACACACGCAAACTAGCACGCATGCACAGACATTGACGGTGATGGGGCATGGAGCAGTTTATGCTCATATCAAGAGAAAGTCTTTGATCAGTGTGACAGGAAGGGCACTCGCCCCAAAGGAATTAGCTAACTCTTGCCTTGCAAAAGCACATCCACAATAAATCAGGCATGCTTGCATTTGCAACAGAGGGGAGAGAATGTCTGATATTTAGCTTCATTAATATGCTAAATGTATGAATATGATTTGTTCCAGTTCAATGTCCAGAGTAGCATGTCCAGAGTGGCATGATAACCATAAAGAGCAGAATGTGCAGAAATTCAGGTTGCATGTATAATCCGCTCAGTTCAACAGCCTGTTATTCTGAATGAGAAATTTACATACTGCTTTTAAATTAGCGCTACCATGCCTTTTAGTTCTCCTACCAAATATATTTATATTTATATATATTCTGGCATTTTTAATATTTAATAAAGGATGAATATTGTAACATTTATTTCATATAGTTATAGTACTTTAAAAAAATAAATCATGCACACATGTACAGTGACACCTGTAAGTTACTCAAGTGTCTTATCTGATCAACAGTCTTCGCTCAAATTTACAATTTAGTGTGTTACATTCATAATTGATTTTCAAAGAATACATCAAATTTAAATCAAATTGCATTTTTTCTCTCAGTCTAAAAAAAATAAGTAATTTTGCTGAGAGAACATTTATGATTGTTGGTGATGAAGCTCCAGCCAGCAGC